TAGTTTAGCCCCAATCCACACTGCGTGAGCGGCGTGGGGGAGACTCTCTGCGGTGGCGGTAGTAGCTGGAAAACCGCAAATTAAGTCGCCGGAAGGGCGCAATTGACACGTGACTGAGGCCCTGTATTTGGCCGCCATCTTTTGTGCCCGTTATTCGGAGGATAGCCAAATTTGGATATGCCTATTTGTAGAAACAAATTTTGAGTTCCACCTTTCGCCGGACATAAATACATTTGTTGAGTATTTGTTGACTGTTAACCAGGGGGCTGCGTGGTCTCAAGGCATAGTGTCTGCCTCAAGTGCTGGAGGTTCCGTGTTCAAATCCTCGGTAGGGCCTGGACATTTTTCACGTGGACTTTAGTAATTCCCCCTGGTCTCTAGGTAGTGAGATCGGACGCCCGTGTGTATTGTTGCCCATCTTTAAAAATACCTTGGCAGTTAGGAATTGAAAGGAGTACCCTAACGGCGCTGCCCGGGCAAAAATTTGGAGTCAAAAATCTCTCCCCAAAAAAAAGTATTTCAAGATCCTCGCCGGTTGTACAGCACCGTGCACTGTTCTGAGCTTCTTCAGACTCAGATTTTGGTTTGAAGAACAACGGAGCACTTATGGGTTGCTGCCCGTGAGCCATATTGTTAATCGGTTGTTCAAACCTTAAACCTGGCTATTAACCTTGCTAGAAAAGAACGGAAATGAAGGAAGGATACAATTTCGAAAACATATGCTTTCCTAACATACGCACACACACACACACACACACACACACACACACACACACACACACACACACATAAAACAGGTAAGTGAAAAACTGCTGTCAACCCGCTAAAACGTGCTGGATTTCCAACTTCGAGATGTGGACAGGGGGGTCGCTAGTGAATGTCACCAGGAAAACAAACTAGAACCAGCAGACGTGGGCAACTCTGTAAATAAAGAGCGCCAAGCAGATATGAAATCAGGTCAGTGTGAAAGGATTGTTACACCTGACAGCTAACAGTTTCAGTCCACGAGTACATCGCTGGTACACATTCTTGTTTAAGTTTAAAGGCAAGTTATGTCCGGTGGCGGGATTTGGGAAAAGTATTGCCCCGTTCCAAAAATCGTGACCTAAAACATAGACTGGATGGAGAGATCTTCACAGTGGATACAGAATTGTGAATTGATTCTTCTTGTGCCTCCGCCGTTGAAATAGTAGTTTGCACGTTGTATAGTGGGACGCTGCAATAGCTGCTTCCCTCCCCCCCCCCCCCCCAACACATCCAGTTTCAGCTAACTCCCAACTGATCGCCTTTTACGACATGCTTGTTATGGGCAGCGAGTCTTTTCTTTTCCCCATCAAAATTGAGGTTCTGGAACCCATGTGAGTTGGACCCGGTGGACAAGCTTGGAAAACGAAACACACTTTCTTCCAGAATGTAACAAGATAGTAAGTGGACAATGTGTTCTTCTACTTCTTAGCACTCACCGAGTGTAAACACCAGTGGACAGTTTGGTTGTTCGTCCACTTCTTAATCTGTTTTGAAGGAAAAACCCTTAACTAGTCACATTTTACGACATGCTTATTTAGGGGACGGCAGTGGGTCTAACTCCCCCCCCCCTCCCCCCCCCCTCCCCCCCCATCCACCACCACCACCACCACAACTGTAGAGCCCCCGAATTCACACGGGGAAGAAAATTCCCTCAAGTATTTAGATACTTACATAACAGCTTCTGAAAAATGTATTCACCATCGTGTGCCGTAGCAGTTAGCGCGGGCAGTCATGTTTCGCCATCTCACACGATCACCAGAATCACGGATCAGATCAATGGTCTCCCCCCAGCCCCCATCAGTGTGGCCAAACCATGCAGGTATTCATCTCCTTGCCCTCCCCTTCCTGTCGTTCCACCAATCTTGCCAATTGTTACCAAGTTCTGTAGTCCATTCCTTCTCATAACATGTAACGGTGCTTTATTAATATCTTACCCCAAACAGGGAAATGTCACAGGTCACGGGACAATGTAATATTTCAGGGGGGGGGGTGGTAGATAGGCTGCATGCAGTCGTGGGACCTAGGTTGCACTCTTGTGAGACCTAGGTGGATTGGGGTTAGGGCCAGTTCTAGATGTTTTGGGGTCGTTAAAAGCATCAGAAAGCTGGGAAACCCAGTCTTTCCATCATATAAAATGTTGGACTGTCCTGTGGCGTCATCTGGGGTAGGATAATAATAAAGCACCCATGTCCCGTCTCCTTTTTCTAAGAAGTTTTTACAACTTTCATCTGTCTCGGCGAGGATTGCTTCGTTTGTTTTTCTATCATCCCTTGATATTCTTTGCATTCTTCGCAAAAAAAAAAAAAAAAAAAAAAATAATAATAATAACTCTGCTGCGAGCAAATGATGTTTTTCAACTTAACTACTCTGGAAATGATAACCCGGATAACAAATGTCCAAAGAAGTCGGAACTGTCGGCCGAAAGTCGCAAATATTTCAGCTAGCTGGAAACAAGCATATTTACTGCACTCGGACGAATGCTGAAGAAGAAGAAGAAGAAGGGGAAGAAAAAGAAGAGGAAGAAGAAGAAGATGATGATGATGATGATGATGATAAGGAGGAGGAGAAAGAAGGGAAGCAGGAGGAGGAGGAAAAGAAGAACAAGAAAGAGAAGAAGAAGACGAGGATGGAGAAGAAGGGAAACGGGAGGAGGAAGAGGAGGAAAAAGAAGAAGAGTGTTAAAGTTCTGTATAAAATCTGTGCTGATATTTGCTTCTTGCTTCTTTCTCACGTATAAATAACAACACAGATTCCATACAGCACTTTAACACACTATTTTTTTTTATATTTTTTTTCACTACAATCGACATATTCTTATTGGTAATTTTTTTTTACATCTGGCCAAAGGCCACTTTTGCCATGGCAATTCTTGTTTTAATTTTAGCATGGCATCTTGTAGCAGGTATGTTATCAGGTGTATTAAAGAATTTAATTGTAGAATATGTCAAGCAAGCGCAGAATTTCGCAAGATGTGAAAAAGTGTGTTGCATGCACTTTTTTTTCCCAGCAGTTTTTGGGCCAGTCTGTATGTACTGAAGGTGATCAGAGTGTAACCATATAATCTTGTAGAAGAAAGACGGGAAAACCAGAAACAAATTAATAAACAAACTTGATGACACATTGAGATATCGAGTCCGAAATACTGCTTCTCGACCTTTAAGAGTCAGTGATAACTACAGAATAATCATCATCAACACAATATTCTTACCAACGCTATGCTGTCAGTGTCAAACATAGACAAGGTCTCCAGAAGACAGAAGGACAATAGTCACAACAGAAATGAAATGTTTACGTCCTATGGTAGGTGTAACGAAGAAAGATCGACTTAGGAACGATGATATCAGGAGGAGAACCGGTACAGAACCAGGACTTAACATTATAAGTAGACAACAAATCAAATCGTTTGGCCATGTAACAAAACTGGCATCAGACAGGGCACCTCAGAGAGCAGTCTTATACAGAAACAATGGTTATAAAACCAGAGGTCGACGACCCAGAAGGACTGCAGAAATATCAGAGATAATGAAAAGTACTTTATACGAAGCGAACAGAAGGGTCCGCTGCAGAAACTTCATACTACCCTGACTGACGCGGCGAGGCTTTCCGGGAATAGAGACAAGAAGAAGTCATTAGTTAGTTAGTTAGTTAGTTAGTTAGTTAGTTAGTTAGTTAGTTAGTTAGTTAGTTAGTTAGTTAGTTAGTTAGTTAGTTAGTTAGTTAGTTAGTTAGTTAGTTAGTTAGTTAGTTAGTTAGTTAGTTAGTTAGTTAGTTAGTTAGTTAGTTAGTTGGTTAGTTAGCTAGTTAGTTAGTTAGTTAGTTAGTTAGTTAGTTAGTTAGTTAGTTAGTTAGTTAGTTAGTTAGTTAGTTAGTTCGTTACCTAGCTAGCTAGTTAGTTCATTAGCTAGTTAGTTAGTTAGTTCGTTAGTTAGTTAGTTAGTTAGTTAGTTAGTTAGTTAGTTAGTTAGTTAGTTAGTTAGTTAGTTAGTTAGTTAGTTAGTTAGTTAGTTAGTTAGTTAGTTAGTTAGTTAGTTAGTTAGTTAGTTAGGTTATCATCATTGCACTCCTGACATGTCCATAGGTGCTCAGATCCTCTCAGTGTGAACCCCAACGTCCGATTGCTAATAGTACCAGTTCTAAGTTGATTAACAAGTCTTCTGGCGTGTCTGGCGTGTGTCTCGTTTTTTGCTATGCCGATCTTAATTCCCAAGTCTGCCATTCTGGCGAGTGATTTGAATTCACTGCCACTAAAGTCCTCTATCCTTCCCATTTCTCTGAGGGCATTAATAATATCAGCATGATTCATAGGCTGACAGTCGGTAGAAGTCATTATCCTCATGTTATACAGTTAGTTACAAACCTTTAAACAAGGCTCGCAGTTTTTCCCCCTTTCCATTCCGTTCCATCCCGTGCAAATATTTAAATTCAGTCTAGCAATTTTGACCTCTCACATTATCCTTCACGTTAGCGTTTCTGTTGGACGCCCTTCTTTCCCAAACCATTTGTTTCCTAGTAAAGTACCTGTTTGGGATTCTACGTTTGCTTCTTCTCAGATATCCTGATATATCGCCATCGTCTTTGTCTGATAACTGTTGATACTAGCAGTTGTCCAGATATTTCTGTTATTTCCACAAATTTCGTGAATTCACCCAATTTAATGTTCATAATTTCCTTAGCAATTTGTTTTCGAATGTATTTAAATTTCGTCCCATTTACTACAGACTAGTACCGTTGTATATGTATAGCATTTAGACAGTGCCCCCCCCCCCCCTTTTCCCACACCCCAACCCTTTCCCACCTAAAATAATCATATCTCACAAATAATTCTTTGATGGAGTATCTGGGGCTTTCCCATGATCTACTTAATGTCATGGCTTTGCTTAATGCGTAGTGAAGTAGCTGCTCACTGTTGAGAAAGATCAGTAACTGGTAACGTATCAACGAGAACTACAGTCAACTCTTGGAGAAGAGGGTCTATGATGGCTAGTTTGAAAATCACTGCCACTGGACTTCAAGCGAACGTAAAAATCTGTGTGAAGAAGCCTTAGCCATCGTCACCTTATATATAAACGTCTTTTACACTTTTTGGCTATTGCGGTTTGTTACGTGTAGCAACGTTATAGTTTTTGAAGAAACTTTGGAGTCAGTTATGAAAACTTATACAATTTTAACAGGTATAATAATTATATTTATTAGCCAATGCAATCGGCAAAAAGAAAACAGATAACAATTATAACCAAAGATCCACGTAGCAGGTTGGCAGTGCTTGAAGCCCAGCACCCCCCTCCTTTTATTTCCTTAAAAATAAAAAATCGGAATTGGATAATTATAGTTATGCGACAAATCGTGAATGTGTTGGAGCAAGGCTATTATTAGTATCATTGAACTGACAGCACGTGTTTCGAATAAGGCCCAAAGAGACATAGCAAGCGGCACGCAAATCATTGACACTTGTTTTGCATTAACGATCTATCTACGCTGGGGTTCAGGCCTCTAGCTGGCGACAATCTCCATTTTCAACATTTTGGCCCCCGAATAAACTTAGTTGAATAGCTCTATGTTAATTACAATTCAGACAGAAGAGGCCCGTTTTTGTTCCACACGATCTGAATACGTTATCGTTTTCAATTTTTGTTAAATAAATGTAATTTTCTATATTTGTTGCAAGTTACTAATAATTTGTTTGTTTGTTTGTTTAAAATATTTTAGTTGCAGCAGCATGTCTGCTGGCAACTGTCTACCCAGTCAATGCTCTGAGTATCTGGACCGATGTTTTGTCTTGTGTGAACAAACTGGCAAACGACACCACGCCGTTATCGCCCAGTTCTGGCAATGTTAGCCAGACTTCTGACACGGAACCAGCCATGGTGGATTTTTCAATGATGAAATTGTTTTCTGTTATTTGTGGGTGAGTACTATTATATTATAATTATTCCAGTAGTAACTCGTTCAGCCCTTCTTCGACACCCCCTTCCCCCTCTCACATCTTAGTGCATGTTTAGTTATTCTCTGTCTATTTCTCCTCATGATGTGCCCTATGTCATCTTCTTTGGTTCGTGACTGTTAATACCGTGGTTATCCACATATTTTTCTTAATTCTTCACCTTTCTGAACTTATCCAATTTAATGTTCATCTTCTTTGAGTGTGTGTGTTGATATTTCGGATAACAGATGTTTGTATTGTAGTATCAACATCATTATGCATTAAGCTCGCAAACTTAGGTGATCATGTTTGGTTATCTCCGAAACAGAGACATTAGTGCACGAGCTGATCAATGAAAATTTACGCCCAGGAGACATCGTTATATAAAAAGATGGGTCTATAGTAAGAGGTAAAAAGAGTGGGCGAGGTTTAATTGTAAATGTGGATGGAGAGTGTTTGAAAACAGAGAGCCTCGCATTGTCCGATCCGGTTTCCCGCTTGGGGCTGAGAGCCGCAAACTTCCAATGGATTGATGGAGGAGAACAAGGTCCACCGCTTAAAAGTGAGATCGGCTAGAGCAAGAGAGGCTAATGGACATTAAAGTAAAGAAAGTATAGGACCCTTTTCCACGCCTTTAGGCGTATAGGGTATATAGGGCTAGACCTATATTTTATAGACCAATCGGCACAAGATGGGTGATGTGGTCAACATCACGCCGACCGACTTTACTTTCCCGGGACTGCACCCGGTACCCACTCAAGGCTGGGTAGACCTGGGAGCCAAGGTCATTTTTTGAAAAAAGTCAGGCTACGCCAGGGAGCGAACCCACGACCTTCCGATCCGCGACGAGCGTCTAGCGCTCGGCCACGGCGACTTCCCTAATGGACATTAGGGATCTTATATTCCGCATCGCTGCTTCTTGACGTACCCTGTCCACTGATAAAACAAAACCAAATTTACGTAGTTTTGCCTTTGCCTACGTCCTCGATGTATAATTAACAAGAAACCCAGTAACAAATGCATTATTGAATGACCCCCCAACAGAAACAAGGACATGTTTGTCACATGCTTGGACACAAGTCTGAAGAAAAGCAACGACTCCATGACACAAATCATTGGCTCATTTTTTGACCCCGCCCTGGTAACCAAAGCTTACGTCGGGCTCTGTGCCAACATATCAGGTACGTGTCATACACATTTAAGGTGTCAAACACATTTAAGATGTCATACATATTTAAGATGTCATACACATTTAAGGTGTCTAACACATTTAAGGTGCAATACACATCCAAGTTGTCTTACACATCCAATGCATTTTCCACATGCAGTTTTGTTTCCTCTTTGTATATCGTCATACAGGGTCGTGGGGAATGATTATCGGGATTTAAAACTGTTTTTATAGAAGTAGTTAATAGATATGCACGCGTGACGTCTTTACATGTAGCGGGTGTTATTACATATGACTGGGCCTCTCTCTCAAGATAACTACTAGCTACCTCCCGAGATGATCGCACAAAGCAAAAATACCGTCGCTCCAGCAACGATCCACGTGCAGCTCTGTAAAATACTGCACACGTGAACCAAACGACCCATCCTTGAAACAAACCTACGATCTTCACAGCGCGAGGCAAGCGGGTTGGCCACTTCGCCATGGATACACCGCCCTCCCTTTCCCTCCCAACGAAGAAATGTGTGTATGAAAGCTAATTATGGGCTAGTTGATAATTCTGATATTCGCTCACGGAGTAGAAAATCTGGTGTTTATTTTTCATTTTCTTGGTTATACCTGAATCATAAATGGTGTGGTTACCTTTGAATCTTGCCAGAGATTGAACAGGCAGGAGTGGATGCGCTGAGCTGTCTGTCAACCGTGAAAATGACGTCTTGTCAGCTTGAGATGGCCGATTATTTTTTCTACATGGGCGTGGTCAAGCAGTTTGCTCCGCCCTCCGAGCAGCTGTCCAGCAAAACTATGGAAACACTTCTGTGCAGGTTTGTGATATATTCAAAAAATTCATCATCTCATCATTATGCTATTATTCATCTTATAGAAATCTCAGCCTAGTTCTCCATTATGTTCTCTCTCGAGCAATCTTTGCAAATCATGGGTGGTAATAGTAAATGTAAAGTTGGGAGATGTGAACCAGCGACTTTGCACACGGTTATAAACTATAAGTGTTCTGCCACCAGTACGGACAGCTGATAAGAAACTGTCCGCCTGTGTCGCCGTCCGCACGTAACTCGGTAGCTATAGTTCCTTTATTTACCCCAGAGTGTTAACTCTGGTACCCATTTCATAGAGGCTGGGTGAACCCCGGGAACCGTCCGGTTTCGAACACCGGTCGTGGGCTGCAGCAAGTCGCTGATTTGAAAGCGAGTCTCCTATCAACTGCGCTAACGCGGCCCCCATGGGTGGAATCTAGTCTAGTATTCATTGTTAGTTTCTCTCATCAAAATATGTCATAGGGTTTCCTTTAGATGTCCTCGTTTTGTCATTCAATTTGTTTCCTATTTCAGTGCATGTTTTGGTGATTCTCTGTCCGTGTCTCTTTGTGATGTTTTCAATAAACTGCTATTAAAAAAGAATTAGTGGTTGAAACAAGCAGTAGCCGAGACATTTCTCTTATTTATTCACACTACTAAAGCATGTTTTATAATGCACTCAACTGTAAATATGCCCGGCTAGCTAGCGCAGCAGGTTAAAACCCGTCTTCGCGGCGATCAGGTGACGAACTCCTTGTGGTCCGGGTTCACGCCCGGCGGCCCAGGGGTATGCAGAAAAGCCACATTTATCCCGGATTTACGGTATCTATTATAGAATCACCGCCTTCTCTAGATACACAGAGAAGGTCGTGTATAGAATCAAGGCCAAAGGTTTAATAAATCATGGTTTCTGGATACTTAAATAAAAATATCAATACTTTAGTGATTGTCACATTGTAATGATTAATTAAGGTCACGAACCCAAAACCAAGAATGAATCTTATGCTAGTTTGCACCAGTGCTTTGTGACTTCATTCGTTATTTTAATATGTTCTAGTTAATTATTATTACCTGTTTGGCTTTCTTAAAATATGTCTGTAGTCTGTCTAAATAAATGAAAGCTATCTGAAAGGTATCTTTTCCGCTTGCAGCATGACCTTCAAAAGACGCAGATGTGAGGTGTTGGCGCTGCAAAAATGTAACGAAAACCTGGCAAATGTCATGGAAGAGTTTTACCGGCAAACACAACCAACATCATGTGCCGCGCTGGAGAAAGATATTGAGCAAATCACTGACAATCACATTTAAATCATGTGTGATTTAATTTTTTTTTTTATTTTTTTTTATTTGTGTGAGTAAAAATTTGATGTAGCCACACGGTTGTGAACGCTCATACCTAAGCTTTTTTTTTTTTTTTTTTTCTGGCGGTAACGTATATTTTTTTGTAGGCAGCAATTTTTTTCAAGCTTACGTGAGAGGCACCTTTTTAGACCCTTTGTAGAGTACCGACACCTTTTTAGACCCTTTGTAGAGTACCGACACCTTTTTAGACCCTTTGTAGAGTACCGACACCTTTTTCTTAAATACTTTGTGGCGAGTACTAGTATCTCTTTATGTGCACTTGTAGCTAATACTAGTATCATGGTATATATACACTTTGTGGTAAGTACCGGCACTTTTTTTCTTTTAAAAAAAAACTTACAGCACACACATATGCCCCCCCCCCCTCCTTTCAGGTAAAGAGACATGGTAGGTATATGATGTCAACTCCACGTTTTAAAATACTCGGTACTAGGCGATAAATATCGAACATGGCGGGCGCTTTTATGTACTTGTGCAATTTTCTAGTACCCAAGTTAGATCATGTTTTCCTCCATGCATTAAATCTTTATAAAATCTATAAATTGTCTGGGGAGAAAAAAACTAGACTTTGTTTTGTTTTATTTTAATTGTCATGTGAGCATCAACTTCCTCATTATTATTAAGCAGGTCCTTAGTCCTTTGCAGATCATCGCTCTCGTCACGGCACACCTGAAAGTCTCTCTCTTTCTTCTTTGCTGCTTGTACTAGCTCTGCCCTTGTTCTCTTACCCAGTTTGCTTAGATGGTCTGCCGGGCCTAAGCACTTGAACACGACCGGTTCCAGCTGACGGGCCGTGCTGCTGACGTCACCGGGTCTGGCTAACTATGCGTTAACACAGCGGTTCTCAAACTGGGTCCTAAGGCACCCCGGGGTGCCATGAGGTGCCGCTGCAAAAATCAAGATAAGTCGGCTAAAAATTGTGAAATTATTAAAGGAGGCATGTAGGTAATTGAAAGTCAAAATGTAAGTTGTCTTCCCTCGCCACTGTCGAAAATATTTTATTTCTTCTTTGAGAACCGCTGTGTTAACGCATCGTCAGCCTGACCCGGTGACGTCAGCAGCACGCCCCCTCAGCTGGAGCAGGTTGTGACTTGACCATAAGATCTTTAAGATTCATTTTCAGCTTGTGTATAACGTTTCTAGGGATATTTATAATGTGGTAGTTTCCCCTTGCTGTCCACATCCACAAGGCTGAGCACTTCAATGTTCAGCAATATTTTAGATTGCCAGGACCAGTACCCTGCTCTGTGATGCTATTGCTAACAGCAGATAGCACCGCAGAGGTGTCTGTATGTTAGGCAGGATGGCATATTACTTGCTTTTTATTAAAAATTATAACATATGGTTTTGGGCTACTTGGCTATCAGGTCAGGTCTTGGTCAGATATGACTGGGCTACCGTATAAACAGTAGCGGGTACCACCAGTCTTCTGTTACGCCGAATGTTGGGCGGCGTATACTGACCCAACATCCCATATTGTGCCAACGGCTTCGGGCGGAGGAGCGCATTGGGGAGGTTACTAGCCTTATCCTAGGAAGAGGAAATGCAACCTGAAAACTTTGTATTATGGTAGGGCAGACCAGGCCCTTCGCCTTTGTTGGCAGCTGGTCTAGGAGCGAAGCTCTGACAGGCGGACAGATAGAGCACTGCTCTTCTGATCCAGCAGCCTGCCTCGTTCCAAACGTACTGGTTTTACCTTTCTTTTGGAGTAAACAAGGCAGGTCAAGGGAGGTATCATTATGCATGGGCAACATATGGTCTCTACAATACTGCCCAGGCTTTGTGCTATAGAGAGGTTGTCTTGCTAGTCACACTCGCCATCACCATGGGCTGTGAGTCTCATGCCTCCTCATAGCGCAATATAACACTCGCGTCTGGATAGACGGAAAGGTGCCATTGAATGATGAACTTGGCTATAATTATTGGCACTTTTCTGTCTTCCCAGACGAGAGTGTTAAATTGCGCTGTGAGGAGACTTGAGACTCACACCCAGTGGCGATGGCGAGTTTGACTAGCAAGACAACCTCTCCATTTGGAACAAAGCATGCTGAAGAAGCTTCCAGACCAGAAGAGCAGTTTCCAGTGTGGCTTCCGGGGCCCCATTGAAGGGAAAACAAGAATAGACCTACTGCCTACCCAAAAGCATGTCGTAAGAGTCAACTAATTGGGAGCTTCCAAGGAACCAACGGTCTGCATACATATGAGTCAGATCTGTAAAACGGATGCACAAGCACCACTCAGGTTCTGGAACGGGACTTCAATCCAGAAGTGGATGAACAACCAGAACTTTCGCTAGAGTTTACAGCTTGTGAACACGAAGAAGAAGAAGAACAGTGCTCTGTTTATTCACCTGTTGGAACTTCCCTTCTAGAGCAGCTGCCAACCAAGGCTAAAAGCCTGGTCTGCCTGCCGTAAATTTTCAGTTATTATAATTATAAAAGAGTTACTACTTTTCTGTTATAAAAAGAGGCTGTCTTTACTGCACATATTTACCAACTGTTAGGATGGGAAGGGAAGGGGGAATTCTTGAACCTGAAGATTTATGGTCACATGACTAGTACAGTCGCAATGAACTCTTGAGGTTAGGATTAATTTTGACTATGATATTTAACACACACAAATATTCACCTTACAGAGGATTTAAACAAGGGTCTCATGACAGAAAGCCCAGTATTCTAACTTCTTGGCCAGCCTCAGTTATTGTAAAAGGAGGTTTTTCCACACCCTTAGGCATATTGTGCTAGACATAATTTATAGACCAATCAGCACGTGATGAGGTTAACATCACATCAGTCACCTTTACTTCCCAGAACTTCACCTGGTACCCATTTAAGGCTTGGAACACAAGGGAGATAATTAATTTTGTTAAAAATCCAGCTCTGTTGAGATATGAACCCACGATCTTCAGATCCACATTTGAGCAATTTGGCTACTATACCACAGTGGTTTAGCTATTATAACAATTATAAAAGAGTTGCAGTTCACAAAGATAATATATCAATTATAAAAGAGGGTCATAGGTTATCTGTGACATATGAAAGAGCATTATGGATTGTTTGGCTAATATGAAAGGGGCTGGCAACATGCAAAATACAGAGAAACAAAACAGGCATTGTGCATAAAAAAGTGCATTAGGACTTATTTTCAGGGAATGTCTTTTTTTCTTTTTCAAACAAGAAAATCTACAATTATTCATGTAGAAAATTCTACATTTATTCATAAACAAAATTCTATACTTATTCATGTACAAAATTCTACATTTATTCAATACATTCATCTTCTTATCAAACATTATCAAATCCCGTATTCCGGCCCGATTTTCTTGCAACTATATTTCCTGTGTCGGCTCTGTGGCTAAGTCGATGCAAACGCTTCACTTCGTAATGCCGGGATGCCAGGTTCGATCCCAGCTGCGGGCAATGCGCCTTGCGTTGGTTTCGACAGTGGTATCAAGAAAGCCGACCGTTCAGCAAGCAATGGCAAACTACTGGATGTAACTTGCCTAGAGAAACCACACAACAGCCAGGGGCTATTAGGGTTGGTTCTGCAACGTCCTATAAAGGATACGCAACTAACTTATATTTCCTGTAGAACTATGGGCCCTAGTTTCTCATTTCCAACAAAACAGCTTTCCTTAACTGAGCATTTCTTGTCCATGAAGCCTGCTGGTTTTTTTTGGGGTATGGCTGATATGAAAAGCATCTTGAAAATTGTGCTAGGTTATATTTCCAGGGTAGGTCTTACTTTTGGGGAAACACAGTAGAATGAAGACAAACATAAAGACAGTGTTGAAGTTAAAATCAAGAGGAGTGACTTCGCTGTAGCGGGATTAATCCCACATGGTTCACTCTCTCCACAGAATGGCTAGCTATCTGCCGAGATCATTGCACAAATTCTGTAGCTACAGAGATGATCAGAAAAACTACGCTCATGAACTGAATTATACGTCCATGAAATGAAACCATGACCTTACAGCATGAGGCTTGACCCCGTAGCACCGAAGAAACCCTGAGACAAACCTAAAAATAACCATTACAAGAAAAAAACACCAGTAGTATTTTCACGAAATGTGAGATTTAATTGACAAAATTAAACATTAGTTTCACAGTTTGGAAAGTGCAGAAGTCACTGAAGTAGAGACAACTAAGAGACCTGCACATGCTCCTGATTTAATTGTGTACTGTTTCAGTTCTGAAGAAAAGAAGTCGAGATGGTTAAGTCTACACGTTTATCACCATTATTTCCTGTTATATGTCATATAAGGCCCGCAGTCTATTCCTCCATTGTCCTGTTGTCCTGTTATATGTCATACAAGGCCCGCAGTCTATTCCTCCATTGTCCTGTTATATGTCATATAATGCCCGCAGTCTATTCCTCCATTGTCCTGTTGTATGTCATATAAGGCCCGCAGTCTATTCCTCCATTGTCCTGTTATATGTCATATAAGGCCCGCAGTCTATTCCTCCATTGTCCTGTTATATGTCATATAAGGCCCGCAGTCTATTCCTCCATTGTCCTGTTGTATGTCATATAATGCCCGCAGTCTATTCCTCCATTGTCCTGTTATATGTCATATAAGGCCCGCAGTCTATTCCTTCATTGTCCTGTTATATGTCATATAATGCCCGCAGTCTATTCCTCCATTGTCCTGTTATATGTCATATAAGGCCCGCAGTCTATTCCTCCATTGTCCTGTTATAGTTATATGTCTATATATATAAGAAAAGTACACTATGCACTTATGTTGTAGTTGATGAGTTGATTCACGAACCGACATCACAGCACTCCAGGCATTTCCATAAACACTTTGTCCCCATCTTCAGCAGCCTGCACAGAGTTCCGATACTAATGGTGCCAGTAGCATTCTGATTAAACATCCGTCTTGCCTTTCCTCTGAGCCTCAAGCATCTACTTATGTTGTAAAGGTGACTTATGTTATAAATGTGACTTATGTTGTAAATGTGACTTATGTTGTAAATGTGACTTATGTTGTAAATGTGACTTATGTTGTAAATGTGACTTATGTTGTAAATGTGACTTAACCCCTTTGATATCATGAATGGAATCTAGTCCAGGTTCTTTAGCCTCTCTCATCAATGTTGGTGTTAAAACATGTTAATGGTCAAGTTTATTGCCAGTGAGGCATGTTAAACCCATTTTTATATAGACCAATCAAAACTAAACAGGTGATACTTCAGATTAATTTAAACTAGTCAATTCTGATTCTGACAAACAAAAGAAAAATTGAAGCAATATTTCTCCGTTATGAATTTGAACAAAGAAGACACAAACAAAAGACTGAACACAAGGATGATGCATTTCAAAATCTGTATAACTCAACAATCTGCAGAATCTTTGGTTTTCTGAAGCTATAATTGTAATAATAAACTAGTTCTGTCAATAATTATGTAGATGAAAGGACATGGTTGTGAACCTGCGTTTGCCATCGTGAAACAGGCAAGTTACCTTCGAATGAAATCAATTTTTTGTTTCAATTAGAAGAATTCATTTATTTGCTTCATCATACAGCGAGAGACAGTGGGAAAATGCCAGGCAGTAAATTATGCAACCTATTGTTCATGTCTTCTTCGATTAAAAAAAAAAGAAAACCATCATTTCAAAATTACAGGTTCGCTTAAAAGGTAGAATTTGCAACATAAAGTGTCAATCTTCTTCTTCATCATCATCGTCGCTTGACTCCTCTTCAGCTTCTCGAAGCCATTTGATGAAAGGCTGGGCCTGTAGACACACAAAAAAAGGGAACATAAATTACAGAGCTTTTACGGATAAACTTTACGTCTTCTTTTGTATTCGCTTTTAACTCTTTCAGTCGCAAGCAGTTATTACTTTCCTCTTCTTCTTTGCGTTCACCAACTGTAAAACTCTGGTGGAAAGTTCTGATTGTCCGTCCACTTCTGGACTGCAGTCTTGTTCCAGAACCTGAGTGTTGTGTGCATCCGTTTGACAGATCTGACACATTTGTGTGCAGACTGTTGGTTCCTTGCCTCTCAGGCAGATGCATTCCAACTTTGAAGGAAGCTCCCAATTAGTCTACTCCTACAACATGCTTTTGGGAAGGCAGTGGGTCTATTCTTGTTTTCCCTATAATAGGGCCCTGGAACCCACACAGGGGAGTTATTACTTTAACTTCTATTCCAATGAGTTGGGCTTAAAATCAATAAATACCGAAGCCTGCAGGAGTTCAGTAAAGAAACTTTGGGACAGAAGTAGATAAACTAATAAGCCTGATTCAACAGGTTAAAATAACATCTGACAGTGATAGTAGACAACAAGAATATTATACTATCTTTGGAAAGATCGAGGACGTATGGCGATTTTAGCTAAACTCAAATTAGCAGCCTCTTACAATATGCTTGTTAGGGGACAGTTAATCTAATTCCCCCAAAACGAGGCCCCACGGAGATCTTAAAACACAGCAGAAAATGAAAAAGGGAATGCAAAAGAACTAGCATATGTGATTTCTTAAACAAAAGAAGACTCGACCATAATTTTGTTCTCAACTACCAGTTTAAAGTTTTTCTTCTTCTTTTCTGTGCTTCTGGAACGCCTCACAGCATCAGGGTCAGAAGAGATTGCTGGAACAGGCCCTTCTGTTTGCTTCATACATAGTACTTTTCAGTGTCTCCGATAATTCCACAGTCTATATGCTGCATGGTCGACCTCTGCCTCTGTTACGGCTGTAACTGTATAACATTGCTCTCTGTGGTGCTCCTGAACCTGGGGATTGAGGGTCACATGAATAGCTCAGTCATCAAGGACTGTACAGGCTAGGATCTGCCCCCCAACAGAAAAGATCCACCACCTTACAGAGGATTCAAACCTGGGTCTCCTCAATGAGAGTCCAATGTTCTTAACCGCTTGGCTAGCTAACCTCTATGAAGTGTAAACCTCGTTAAATTTCTTACCAGTCTTTTCAAGAAACTGTGTCTCAAGGCTTCATTCGATCCTGGACTAAAATTTGAAGACTCGAACCAACCAAACAGTGCTTGCTCAGAAAGGACATCAGCATCGTAGAGAAAGTTTAAAAACTGAGGCAGTCGAGGCTGCAAGTCTTTGTGCTTTATCACAAAATCCTGAAACAATCCAGCATGTGAAAAATTATAAGAAATTTGAAGTCAGTGAACACTGTAGATATAGAAGTAAAATGGTTGGTGGCTGATTTGTGTTTGGACTGGCCAAGTGCCTTATGCATGAATACTGAGCAGGTATGGTCAGCTTGTAATGACTGACTACTTTCATTAAGAACAAACTTTAATTCTTGTGATGTCTGAAAGTGTTGACACCTCTAGTGGCTGTTTTATGAATGTTTCTGTGGATTCTGCCAGGTCTAATTATTTGTTCACTAGTTTTTAAATGATTTTCACTGCAATTTTGTGGGTGACCAATTTGCAGCGGAGCTGAAACATTGACTACCAACTCCAACAGACACAGTAGTGGTGTACTTGTAACATAAACAATACCACGGCTGTGAAAGCAAGCTGCATCACAGAGGACCCTTTTTATTTACACACATACACATGCACGCACGCACACCCACCACACACACACAGATAGAGAGAGAGAATGAGAGAGATATATATCTATTGGACATAGGATGCATAGTTTTATAAACCATGAGCACAAAGTGGGTGACATGGCTGACATCAAGTCAAATATTCTAGCCATAAACAAACAGGTCTCCATTTCAACCCCCCCCCCCCCCCCCCCCCGCCCTCCCCCAATAAAAGTTTACATGTGTGTGTGTGTTTTTTAAACAGAATATTGCAGAACCAACCCCAGCATTTTTTTGGGACTGGTTTGTGATTTCACTAGTCAATTTCATGTTCAGCAGTTTGCCATTGCTTCTTCAATGGTCAGCTCACGACACCAGTGCAAGGTGGTCTGTTGCCAAGCTGCCTGCAGCTGGGTTTGAACCCGGTATCTCAGCATTATGAAGTGCGTTTGCAACGCCAAAGCCACAGATACTGAGTTTTCATGCATGGAAAAAATCAACACATTACCAATGCTGTTACAAACACAACTGCAGCTGTGTGTGCTTCTACGTGTTCTGCTGTTGCAGAGAAACCACATCGAAATGTGTTTTCAAAATAATGGTAGGCACATAGAGCATCTTATATGAATAAAAATGGTTGTCATAAAAATTATTTTTGTTTTCTATGTATGGAAACGTTTGAGACATCTTGAAGTCACCAAACTACAGCAGCTGCCCCCATCAGAGTTTGTGGAGCAAATAAGAAAGAGTTTGACTGCACAAAAGGTTACACTCAAACATACCCCGAGTCCATTGATTGCGATCAGCTTCGTTTCATTGTTTTTTATGTAGTAGCACAACAGGGAGGAATACTGCTCAATATTCTGTGGAGAAGTACAAATTCATCATGTTTACAGAAAAAATCAGTTGCCAGTTCTACTTTATGGAGCAGAATGCTGGAAAATTACCCAAAAAATATGCACACAAGCTATCCACCTTCCACCACACATGTCTATGTAAAATTATCAAAATTTCCTGGCCAGATACAATCTCATTCACTAAAACTACTTCAAGCCACAAACCAAGAAACTCTAGACAGTATTATAACCGAGAGAAGATGGAAATGGCTTGGCCAAGTTAGGAGAATGAATCCTGATATACCTGCCAAAGCAGCTCTCACATGGATACCACAGTGAAAGAGAAAAAGGGGAGCCCAAAAACAACATGGAGACGAACGATGGAAAGTGACCTGAGTGTGGCATCTCTGATATGGAAAACCGCACTGAAGATTGCATAGGACAGGAAAGCATGGAAAGTCCTCTCTGAAGCCTCATGTGCCACTAGGCACAAAAAGAACTGATGAAAGAGAAAAAAGTCTACAACTGATAAAACAAGTATCTTCTTCTTCTTTGTATTTACTAGCTGTAAGCCCCAGTGGAAAATTCTGGTTGTTCGTCCACTTCTGGACTTGAGTCTTGTTCCAGAACTTGCGTGTTGCATGCACATCCATTTTACAGATCTGGCTTACTTGTATGCAGACTGCTGGTTCCTCACCATGGGCAGATATGCTCTGACTAAGGAGGAAAAATCCCTAATTAGTCAACTTCCACGACATACTTGTTAGGGGGCAGTGGGTCTTTTTGCCCCTAAAATGGGGCTCCGGAATACACATGGGGGGGGGGGGGGGGGGGGAAACAAGTAGAAAAGTATATATAATGCTATGTGTCAGTACTAAACTACATGAAAAGGCCACAGATCACATAGTTTGGACATGTGTCAAGACTAGGACTGATGGACAACCACAGAGAGAGAGAGCTCTGTCACATGGAGGCAGATCCAGAGGCTGACCACGCAAGTGAGGACACATGGAATATCCATGTGTCAAGACTAGGACTGATGGACAACCACACAGAGAGAGCTCTGTCACATGGAGGCAGATCCAGAGGCTGACCACGCAAGTGAGGACACATGGAATATCCAAGGCTGTAAAACCCAGCAACTATGTAGCACATACAGCATGTAGCTCACACCCGATGCTTTTTCAAAACCTGACGCTGAAAGGCAGAACAGGACTAGAGATGAAGAAAAAGAAGAAGAAAGAAGCTATAACATCAGTTCTTAAATAGACTCAAATCAGCACACCTTTTTAGCTGCTGCCAACAACTGTGGCTCAGCTGAGATGGGAATCTTTAACTCCTGAGCTGCCATCTCGATCAAAGTTGAAGGCAGACTGTGAATGACTTGATCAATGGGAACTGTGTAAGCATGTCTGAAAATAAGAACAGTTAAAAAGCCTTAAATCTGTATCTGAATTAGGTAAACAGATAACTGCAGTTAAAAAAAATCATAGCAGATGAGACTCCCCATAGCTGCTTCATTCCTGTGTTGAACGAAAATCACAAAGAATGTCTATCACTCCTATTTGTAAAAAAATTTGACACAGACTGCAGTCTTAGCAAATCTAACAGCATACACGTGCATTAAAAGCATAATGCAGCACTCATGAATGTCAACACAAACAATCCGACACTATAAATGCAGTTCATCATTGATGGAAGCAGCCCTTACAACTGATCAATAGTTGTACAACCAATTAATTGCATGAAGTACCGCAACTTCTCTGGCAACAGGACACTCGCCATTTCCTGAATCTGCAGTTCACAATATAAACCACATTGGACACATCCTTAAAACGAATGTGCACACAAAACTCAGGTTCAGAGGTGGATGGACAATCTGAACTTTCCATTAGAGTTTAAAGCCAGTAAACATGAAAAAGAAATGAAAGTTTCCTAAAGTTTCTTTGTGTTGTCCTTGTTTTGTCTTTGTGAATATTCCATGATAAGGCCCTATCTCTTCCATGGTGCGATTTCGTACTATTGTCCAAAAACTGAAAAAAATTGTTTTTTAATTGAAATGAACAGTCCACTGTGGAAATCAAACCCTTGTACTCAAGGATCATGAAATTGTTAGACACATTCACTAACCTCCAACACAGCCACAGGAAAACCACCTAAAGAGCAAATAATGAGAAGCACTCACTTTAAAGAGTTGATTTCTAGTATAAGGTTGTCATCGCTAATCTTATCACTGTTGGCTCTCAGGAAGGTGTCCAAAAGTTCTTGGTAGAAGGCTGTAGAATAGGACAAATTCATTTTAAACATCATGGGACTCTTCGCAAGTTTCCAGTTTGTGACTGGGGAAAATACATTTATTAATCTAGAGGTCTCTTTGTAATGTGTCTCTTTCTTACTAACTCCCGCTCGTACACACTCGACACTGGCTGTTGTCTAGGGGTCAGACTCACAGGTTAGACAAGGCAGACTTTTCTTCCAACAAACAACCACACGTCCCCAAATGATAGTCGATGATGAATCTCGACAGTTCTATATTTATTCAATGTTATTCAATATCATATAAGCGACAAGAATCAACATTACAGCCTCACTAACACCATACAGGTAAGGTCAACTTGCTCCCACTTGGGGTATACAGCCATGCCATGGTCTACGCTGCCATTCACGCGGTTGGCACAATCAACAGTCAATAGAAGCTATTCTTTAATGTAGCTTTGCTACAACCACTTCATAGCCCTTCAGGATCAACGTTCACTTCGTTTCACTCAGATCCACTTGCACTCAGAACTTTAAAGGATCTTGTCACAGAATGCCTTCCCAGTCGGCCATTCCCCCAGACCCCGTGTTCACACGCAAGTTCAACAATCCTGTGTTTTACCATTTCCATATTAACTTCCCGTTTCTCACTCTAGGGACTTCCCCAAATCTGTCAATTAGTGAACCCCTTATGTTGTACCTATTTATTTTAGTTGTCATCCCGGACAAGCTCCCATTGTAATGTGTCTCTTCCATACTGGCTCTTACTACATAGAATCAAATGAAGGTGACTTTGTCTAAGTATTGTAAGGGTATGGTATAGTTTCCTGATCTTACTGGACTGTCTGTTTTTCAAATGAATTTCATACTCTATTAAATTTGTTTTCCCTGGCTTTGTGGTAAATTAATTTTAAACTTTGAAATGATCTTTTGCACATTCTGTTTATCCTGGTAACTAAAAATTCATTTTTAACATCGTGGGACTCTTCGAAAGTTTCCAGCTTGTAACTTGGGAAAATACAATTACTGATCTATGGGTTTGCTTCTTGTTTTCGTTCTCCCTGTCAGGGGTTTTCAGATGAGAAGGCCACACGCCTCTACGAAGGCAGACTGGAGAGAAGGATATCTTGTGAAACTGCCCAAAAAAGGTGATCTACAGGAGTGTGAAAACTATAGAGGAATTATGTTGCTGTAAGTTCCTGGAAAAATATCAAGTAGAATTATTTTGGAAAGATTAAAAGATGCTAGTGATAAAATGCTAAAAGATGAGCAGGCAGGTTTTCGGTCAAAAAGATCCTGTACTGACCAGATAGCCACATTACGTATTATAATAGAGCAAAGCATTGAACTGAACTCACCACTTTACATTGGATTTATAGACTATGAAAAAGCATTTGACAGCATTGATAGGGAATCTCTCTGGAAATTGATGGGGCACTATGGAATCCCACAGAAAATTATAAACTTAGTAAACGCAACATATAAAGACATGAAATGTCGAGTTCTTCATGAGGGAAAGCTAACAAATGCATTTGAAACAAAAACAGGTGTGCGGCAGGGATGTCTTTTGTCGCCTCTCTTATTTTTACTGGCTATAGCCTGGACTATGAAAACACATGGAGAAGAGAGCTGGAGAATGAAGTTAGAAAGATGGGGAAGACATGGAGAGAGCTCCATGTAATGGCGAAGGATAGAACGACTTGGCGTGAGTTGGTTGAGGGCCTATGCTCCATTGGGGGATAGAAAGGCAGAAGAAGAAGAAGAAGAAGAGCTGAAGCTTCCAACCAGAAAGGATTACCATTCCAAACCACAAATCATTTCTGTTTGCATGTGAAGTGTCAGGATGCCACACACTATAGAATATGACATATGAGGTCACACTGCCAGTTTCTTTCCTCATCATCCTTCCTTCCCACTAGAATTTCCAGAAGTTTCTAACAGTTGACTGATACCCATTTTTATCAGTCTGGAACTGACTCCAGATCTTCCCCGTGTGGACCACATTTTGTGGAGAGAAAGAACAGACCTACTTCAATAACAAGTTTGTGGTTATAAGATGACTAATTAGGGGCTTTTTGAAATTGAATGTGTTTTGCTGAAAGGCGCAAATATCAAGCCTAGCTGAAAATCAAAACACAATGTGCCAACTGCTTTTTCAAGGGTGATAGCAGAAGAAGAAGAAGAAGAAGGCCTAAGACCTGTATTGATTAGAGAAATAAATTCTGCCTTTCTTCTCCCTGTGGGTTTCTGGGTCCCATTGTTTGGGGAGGGGGGGGGGAAATAGACCCACTGCCCCACTAACAAGATTCATAATAGTCAACAAATCAGGGGTGTTTTCTTTGAAGTTGAAGCGCATATACCTGAGAGGCAAGGGACCAACAGTCTGCATCCAAATAAGCCAGATCTGTAAAACAGATGCATAAGTCAAATTCTTGAACAAGACTTAAGTCCAGAAGTGGACAAACAACCAGAACTTTCTGCCGGAGTTTACAGCTAAGTGAGCACTAGGAAGAATGAGAACCCTGTTTCTGCTACAGATTCGACTGGGACCACTGTCTTGGCAGAAGGATGACATTTACAGACGATTTTGTATGTACAGTTAGAAAATAATGCTCACCTGAGTTTCTCTCCATCATGCATGCTTTAGGATTGAAGCCCAGCGAGCTGTCTACTACATCCTCGTCCTCGTCATCTGATTCAAGGTCTACTGGCTCTCCTTCCTCAAGGTCACTTTCCACATCCTGCTCTTTCCTGCTATCATCATCATCTTCTTCTGAATTGTCAGACAAATGATCCTCAGAGTCGGAGGCAGACAGACCCCAGGTGACATCTACCACTGAGAGCAGGGCAACAAAGAGAAAGCAAGAATGTATCAAAAGTAATGTCCATCACAACAAGTACATATAAGCTTCTCAACCAGCACTGAGTAAGACTGAGCCCCAATAATAATAATAACCAAAACAGACCGTGCCATTTTCACGCCATCATCATCATTATGTAGCAGATCTTATGCAGAGTGTGGCTCTCATCATAGTCTGCCTGAAAGATACTCACCAGATCTCCTAGTGATTAGTGATTAGAAAGGACTACCATCACAGCACTCTGGACAGATCCATAGGTGCTCCGGTCTCCTCCTCAAAAGCTCCACAAGTGTAAAACGACTGATGACGCCTGTTCTGTGTTGGTTAATGAAACGTCTTGTCCCCAGCTCTAGGCTGCACCCCCATGTCCATCAGTCTAGACCAGATCTCCTGCACTTCCCCACCCAAGATATCTCTTACATTCTGTGCCCATCCACATGCTAGTTGACCTCTGCCCCCTTTCCTGGCACCATGCCTTCTGTCAAAATTCTTTCCAATCCACTGCGGCACTTGATATGGCCAAAATAATTTAGTTTCTGAGACAAGATGCTGTTTACCAGCCAATCTTCCTTGATGTTCAGATCTTTTAGGATGACAGTATTTCTTTCTATCTTGCAAATGAATTTGCCAAAAACACAGGAGTCAGTGTTGAGCATCAGAAAGAATATTACTGTCTCATTCACCCAGTTCCTCCTCTTCGGTGTGGAGGAGGTATACAGGGAGTCTTCTTTGTCGTCTGCATTCATCTGATGCATTGTGCTTGTTTACCACATGGCTGTGATTGTTAGCCGTTCGGCCGACACATCCAACTTCTGCAGGCACTTGTTGACCCAGTTAGCCTTAATGTGTATGGAAGTCTAATTATGTAAATAATGTAACAGGGCTATGCCCAAACCACGTATAGAAACTGGCCTCTTTTTTTAAACATGTACAGAAATCATCAGTAAATGTATTTCGAAATTTCATATTATTTCAAGTATTTTATTGTAGCAATTCAGCACAATATTATTATTATTATGCTCTTAAACTAGGATTAGAGTCCATTGCTTCCTCAACCCACCTAGAAATTTTTAAGGCCTGGCGTATATATATATAAGTATAACATTGAAATGCATTGAATGAACATCATTTGGTAAAGGTTGAATGCACTCACCCAAGCCTTCTTCTTCATTGTCACTATCAACATCTGGTTTGTAGAGGTAAGCTTTGCTTCTTTGTCCATACTTCTCTGTATCTGGAGGAGGATCAAGGGCCAGGCTATTATATGCAGACATTTGTTTATGCTTAAAACTTGTTTTTCTTTGTGGGGACTGTCACCAGAGCTGCAGCGTTTGTACTTTGTGTGTGTGGTACTCTTAAGAGAGTCTTAATGAGATGGGATAAAACCCGGTGCAATGAAATTGATCCTGCTGAATTTGACTTTCTTCTTCTTCGCATTACCTAGTTGCAAACTCCAGGTGAAAGTCCTGACTGTCCACTTCTGGGCTTTAGTCTTTTTCCACGACTGGAGTTTTGATTGCACATCCATTCTACAGCTTATCTGTATGCAGACTGTTGGTTTTCACCTTTAAGGCAAACTCATTCTAATTTTGAAGAAAAGAAAAAGAAAACTGTCGCCAAACTACCAATTACTGTCTGTATTTACCACTTTTGCGGTGTAAGCAGGACAGTCAGTGAGCCTGAGGATTTAGGGCCACATGGCTAGTGCTGTCGCCACAGACTGTGAAGGTTACGATATTATATCTAGCCCCTTGACAGAAAAAATACATGACCTCACTGGACATTTAGATCTGGGTCACCCGCATGAGAGCCTAGTACTCTTAGCCTCTTGGTCAGCCTCTCCTCTAAAACAAAACATTTTTTCTTTTAAATTGCTTTATTAATTATTGTGTATATCCAGTTTTGCCCTTTTTAGGACGAAATGTTTTGTTATTTGAAGCCCCACCCTGGCTTTTGCCAGGGGCCGCAATATAGGCAGGCCATAAATATGGCCAATTGTCTGAACGCAGTTTCTGGGACCTCTCCACTGCGATCCTCATCCACATGGTGGGACTTTGTGTCATCAGGTGTTTATCGCTTGTGTGATGTCCTAGTAGGGTAGACAGTCAGTCAGTTAGTCTTTTAAATTAAAAAAAAAAAAAAAAAAAAAAAAAAAAAAATATTACAATGTTCAAAATGTGTCCCTACCTTGTACACTGTCCTCTTTGCCATTTGATATTTTATTATCAGTGGTCATATCATCTTCTCCGAAGGACTCGGTATCATCGAAGCCATCGCTCTGGGGTTCAGACATCAGCTGTGTTCCTTGTGGCACTGTCACATCTGGGCCTACTACTACCTTAAAAAGAGAGAGTACATTCAATCTGTAATATTTTGAAACACACCTTTTTTTCTTTGGCAGATTAAAAACATAAAAACTGGATGTCTGTTACATTATTCAGTTACAATTTGGGAGACACGGTGCGTATCGCAATACTGATCCCGTATCTACGTGACATAAACTACAGGGTTTCAAGACAGGAAGGACGAGGAGGCGGAGGAGGAAGAAGTGGCAGATAGAGGAAGATAAAAAATAGTAGTAGCAGAAAGATGAAGTTAAAACAAGCCATAAACTTCAACATTACCTCCCAGGCCAGGATGACCCCTTTCTTGATGATGACATTATTCAAGACCTTGACCCCAGAGCACAGGAGAGCAGTGTCGATCTCACAGTTATCTTCCACCGTAACATTGTCCCAGAGGTAGCTGTTCCTCAAGATCACATTCTCACCTAAGCAGAGAATCAAAGAACATGTGAAGGTGCTTTATTAATATCCTACCCCAAACAGGGGAAATCCACAGGTCACGAGACAGTCTAATATTTCAGGGGGTGGAAGATAGGCTACAGGCAGTCATGGGATCTAGGCTGCACTCTCTCGTGGGACGCAGGTGGGTTGGGGTTAGGCCCAGTTCTAGATGTTTTGGGGTCGTTAAAAGCATCAGAAAGCCAGGAAACCCAGTCTTACCACCCTCTAAAATGTTGGACTGTCCTGTGATGTCATCTGGGGTAGGATATTAATAAAGCACCAATGTGAAGTTACACATGATAAGTCTCACAATTTGATAGCATCTCTGAACAGGTTGAACAAATAAATATGTTCCAGACAACTTGAAAAAAAAGACCTGGTTGTTTGTCCATTTCTGGACTTAAGCTTTGCTCCAGGACCTGAGTTTTGTGTGCGCATCTGTTTTACAGACCTTGCTTATTTGTATGTACTCTGTTGATTCCTTGCCTCTTAGGCAGATGCACTCTGACTTCGAAGGAAGCTCCCAATTAGTGGACTCTTAAGACATGCTTATTGGGAAAGCAGTGGATCTATTCTTGTTTCCCCCACAATGGGGCCGCGGAACCCACTTGGTGAAAGTATTCATAAATTTTTTTTTTTTTAAATTAACGCAAAAACTTTGTATTGCTCAGTAATCCATAAAAAAAACTAATTAATGAGTAATCACTAAAAAAAAAAACCTTTATTACCAAGTAACCCTTATCCTTATAAAAATTATTTTTTTTAAATTGCTAGCATTCCTTTAACATTTATGTCACCAGTATGGGTTTCAACTTCACTGCAAAATCTTCATCACATAATTACTCTGCAAACAGAAAAAAATACTATCTTTAAAAGGAAGCCACCAAGATATAGTGGCTAGATGCTTGCTTGCAGATCTGAAGGACGTGGAATCTAATCCCACTGAAGCTGGCTTTTTTCTCCATAAATGGCTTTGGCTCCCAGCTCGACCAGCCTTAAATGGGTCGCAGGTAATATCCTGGAAAGTAAAGGTGGTGGCGCAATGCTGACCACATCGCCCACCGAGTGTCAATTGGTCTATAAAAATATAGCTCTAGCTCTATGTGCCCACAGACACGGAAAAGTTCCTTTACCTGTACTTACTTTTGCTACCTTTAAACAATTATCATATACACAAAAACAATTACCTATTTTACAATTTCTACCGACAACACATCCAGAAACAACAGAACCACTGCCGATCTCCGTCCCACTGCCAACCACCACATCCTGGCAAAGCTCACAACCTCTGTTTAGGGAAAAATTAATAAATATTTAAAAATAAATTTAACGGACATATCACAAAACTTTCATGCAAAAGAATATTCTCATAACTATCGCTCAGTGGTATGAAATTTGCATCGTGGTACAATATGAAGGCCTCACCGGTCCTTTGAAAGACTGCAGTGGCTTGAAAGTGACTGACCCACTCAAGAACAGTCCATTACAGAAGTAACAACAATGTGAAACATTCTACTACACTCACACATTTGCTAGACCAACCGACATGCATAATCATAATGGATCTTCACTCATCGATGAATTTCAATGGATAACAGAACAGTGCTCATCTTTGGTGCATGTCAAAAGTAGGGTAGCTATCTTTTGAACCATCATTACGATATCACTGCGTTCATCTGCACCATGATGTCATGTGTTTAACATTCTTGACATCCTTACCAACAATACTGACAGGTTAAAAGACAATGGCCTAGTTACTCTAATTTCCATCACACTTTCAAGGTTTTGATTTTAATGCCCACTCGAAAATATCCCCAACTGGCAATTTCCACTGTGTAAATGGCACATTTTGTTGTTGTTGCATGAAATATATCTATCCCAAACAAGCTGGGGTTGGTCAGAAAGATTTTTGAAAGACTATGATAAGTGCTGAGCTAAGAACTGAAATTACAGCACTCGGGATATTCCCATAAACATCCTGTCCTCTTATTCAGCAGCCAGTGAAGAGTTACAATTCCGATGGTGCCAATGGCAGTTCTATTATATGTGTCTGTCTTGCCTTTCCTCTGAGTGTAGAGTGTCAACCAGATCCATAGTGCACTCCTAGCAATACCATTCTCTCCAGGACCATAATGATCCATTTGTGCGTCTGCATTATTCACTTGCCTCTAAAGGACGTTGACCACGTCCAGCTTGTCATTAATAGACGTTTTGTATCATACACTAGACGTTGTAGTATCATACACTAGATGTTGTAGTATCATACACTAGATGTTGTAGTATCATACACTAGACGTTGTAGTATCATACACTAGCGTTGTAGTATCATACACTAGACGTTGTAGTATCATACACTAGATGTTGTAGTATCATACACTAGACATTGTAGTATCATACACTAGATGTTGTAGTATCATACACTAGATGTAGTATCATACACTAGATGTTGTAGTATCATACACTAGACGTTGTAGTATCATACACTAGACATTGTAGTATCATACACTAGACGTTGTAGTATCATACACTAGACGTTGTAGTATCATACACTAGACGTTGTAGTATCATACACTAGACGTTGTAGTATCATACACTAGACGTTGCTGCACCAAGCATCGCCTATTTACTGTCTTGGCTGGTTGGAAAGATCTTGAAAAGGCTGCTATAAATGAAGCCCCTTGCACTGACACTCAGGTCATGAGTCTTGAAAAGGCTGCTATAAATGAAGCTCCTTGCACTGACACTCAGGTCATGAGTCTTGAAAAGGCTGCTATAAATGAAGCCCCTTGCACTGACACTCAGGTCATGAGTCTTGAAAAAGCTGCTATAAATGAAGCTCCTTGCACTGACACTCAGGTCATGAATCTTGAAAAGGCTGCTATAAATGAAGCTCCTTGCATTGACACTCAGGTCATGAGTCTTGAAAAGGTTTGTGTCTACTGGGGTGAGGTGAAACTAGAGAATTTCCTTCTAAATAGGAAATGAAGCATCATTTGCATAGGGACTGTGTTACAGACCTCTCTTTCCCTTCTCCAATTACAATAACCAGTAGTGTGCGCAATATGCAGGAGTGTTGGGAAATAAACAGTCAGACGGATTGGGTGGTTCTGCTCAAATGGGTGGGAAATTTCAAATCTCTAGAAATAAAATGTGCTTCTCATGTGAGGCAGACTGAATCTGTGGATAAAAGGGAGGTTAGCATTGTGGGTTGTCGTTTAAAGCTAAGCTGTGATATTTGCGGCTTTCAGCTTAACACATCCTATATCAGCAAATCCTTAGTCATTTGCCTTTGACAAACGTACCTTAAAGAACATTGAACCTACTAATTGTTTTCCCCCCAAAATGGAGTCACAGAATCCACAAAGTGAACTGCTTTAATAAAGAAACTGTAGAAGCTTGGGCTTCATAAAATGCTTTGGAGATAAAAATACAACTGGTGTGGGAAAGAGGAAAGACAAGCGCCTGGAAGGGCTAAATGTAAGACGGGCCCATGTGCCCAATTAGTCATCCTTGAAAAAAAAAGTTTCATTCGTTCTTTAAGTCACTGAGTTATTTCTTGACAAATTCAGTACAGGAAGAGGTAAGTGAGGTATCAATAAGTGAAGTGTGCCTGTAGATGTATTAATGGACAGTCACATAACTCTGAAATACCTGGACAAAGTCACATCCTCACTGCAGTACACATTATGTCTGCCATACTTGATTCTCTCACTCTGGTTGGAGCCAAACAAATCAGGAACCAGAGGGTAGGTCCACCGAGTAATGACATCTTTGCTGTATAGAAAGAACGAACAAAGAAATACAGAAAGGGCATTCAATTGTTTTTTAAATACTCCTAAAAGGACGATAACTTTATTACTGCAGACGAAGCTCTGACTTACAGGAACGAGATATCCAATTACAGGGTTTCCTCAACTTATGACCAGGTTCCATTCTAATTAACACACGTAAGTCAAATTGGGTTAAACTTAATTTATATTTTCAACGCTTTTCATTTTTATCACTTAAACAGATATTAAAAATTATATAAAACACAAAAATTCAATCTGTGTAAGCATAACTATTGTATACAATGTAAAAATACATAAAATGTACTCCAGTGAACAAACTTTTTGACCCTACCAATGAAGTTATCTTTGTTTATTTACTACTTTTTTTAAAACAAATTTAGTATATGTGGTTTTAAGTGTGGGCTGTCATAAGTGGTATAATTTATAAGTCGAGGAGAAGGTGAATTTTAATGGCCACACACAATTCTGGCTGACGGATGAGATCTAGGTAGGTATTTTCTTCCTCAGATTTAGGGTAGTTGGCTGTCAGCAGGATTTAATTAAAAGCCTATAAAGAAATGTGCACTTTTAACTGATTATTTCTTCTTCTACTTCTTCTTTGTTCATTCTAAAATGGTAGTTGGTACACTGTTTGCGGTTTACATCTAGGCAACAATACCTGTGCCTTTTGGTCCAACACATCTGGTTTCTGTGAACTCCTGGTTAGTTACCCTTTCTGCCATGCAATGGGATTATTTAACCCATTCCCCTTCCCCAAATGGGGATTATTTAACCGTGTTTCTGATACTTTGCTCAGTAGTAGCAGTATTTTGTGTGTGTATGTAAAAGAGAAAGAGAGGGAATATTCCAGAAATTAGCACAGAAAAGCAGCGTAAAAGAGAGCTGGATATCATTACACAATCAAGAAAAGACTTGGCAGACTTTTAAATCCACTCACCTGATCGCATCATATGTGTGCATGTTTGAAACTCGTGCTGCATATTTGTCACGGATGATGCTCAAATGAATTTTGTTACCCATAATCTAGACGGATAAAAACATTAAATAACAAATTCACAAAAGTAGGAAATGAGAACACAAAAATTAGTGAGGTCAATTAGAATTAAAACACCCACAAAATATTTTTTATAAAATAAGCTTTCATTTGAAACGCATTTAATCATGAGTTCCCAATGGCCATGTCATCATGAGTTCCTGTTGGTCCAGTGATTATGAGTTCCCATCTGCTCAGTGATCATGAGCTCCCATTAGCCCAACGATCGTGAGTCCCATCTGCCCAGTGACCATGAGTTTCCATTAGATCAATGATGAGTTCTCACTGGCCTAATGATCATGAGCTTTCATTGGCTCGGTGACCACGAGTTCCCACTGGCCCAGTGATTATGATGAGTTCCCATTGGCCCAGTGATCATGAGCTCCAATTGGCCCAGTGATCATGAGTTCCCACTGGCCCAGTGATTATGATGAGTTCCCATTGGCCCAGTGATTATGATGAGTTCCCATTGGCCCAGTGATCATGAGCTCCAATTGGCCCAGTGATCATGAGTTCCCATTGGCCCAGTGATTATGATGAGCTCCAATTAGCCCAGTGATCATGAGTTCCCATTGGCCCAGTGATCATGAGCTCCAATTGGCCCAGTGATCATGAGCTCCTATTGGCCCAGTGATCATGAGTTCCCATTGGCCCAGTGATCATGAGTTCCCATTGGCCCAGTGATTATGATGAGTTCCCATTGGCCCTGTGAACATGAGTTCCAATTGGCACAGTGATCATGAGTTTCAATTAGCCCAGTGATCATAAGTTCCCATTGGCCTAGTGATCATGAGCTCCAATTGGCCCAGTGATCATGAGCTCCAATTGGCCCAGTGATTTGTTTGTTCAGTCGAGTACATGTTATGTATTTTTACATTGTATACAATAGTTATGCTTACACAGATTGAATTTGTGTGTTCTATTTAGTTTTTAAAATCTATTGGCTTGTGGTCATGTGTTCCTATTGGCAAGTGATCATGTGTTTCTATTGGCACGTGATTATGTGTTCCTATTGGCACGTGATCATGTGTTCCTATTGGCATGTGATTATGTGTTTTTATTGGCACGTAATCATGTGTTTTTATTGGCACGTGATCATGTGTTCCTATGGGCTCGTGATCATGTGTTCCTATTGCCTTGTGATCATGTGTTCCTATTGGCTTGTGAACATGTGTTCCTATTGGCACGTGATCATGTGTTTCTATTGGTGTGTGAACATGTGTTCCTATTGGCTCATGATCATGTGTTCCCATTGGCTTGTGAACATGTGTTCCTATTGGCTTGTGAACATGTGTTCCTATTGGCTTGTGATCATGTGTTCCTATTGGCTTGTGAACATGTGTTCCTATTGGCTTGTGAACTTGTGTTCCTATTGGCTTGTGATCATGTGTTACTATTGGCTTGTGATCATGTGTTCCTATTGGCTTGTGATCATGTGTTCCTATTGGCTTGTGAACATGTGTTCCTATTGGCTTGTGATCATGTGTTCCTATTGGCTTGTGAACATGTGTTCCTATTGGCTCGTGATCATGTGTTCCTATTGGCTTGTGATCATGTGTTCCTATTGGCTTGTGAACATGTGTTCCTATTGGCTTGTGATCATGTGTTCCTATTGGCTTGTGAACATGTGTTCCTATTGGCTTGTGAACATGTGTTCCTATTGGCTTGTGAACATGTGTTCCTATTGGCTTGTGATCATGTGTTCCTATTGGCTCGTGATCATGTGTTCCTATTCCTCTTGAGACAGGATTTCTAAAAATGTTCTTGGGCTCCCTGCTCAAAACTTGTTTCAGGAAATGTTCAATCAAGTAAAGGCTGCCACAATACTGACCACTTTACCCATCTGTTGTTTTGATTGTTCATCCACTTCTGGACTTTAATCTTGTTCCAGAACTTGAGTTCTGCATGCATATCAGTTTATAAGCACAGTTGGAGTTATGCTTGTAATGAGGTTTATATCTCCTACGTATGGAAACTTGTGCGGAACCCTTGTTTCCTGTCTTATGTATTTTCTGTGAAAACCTGGACCAAAAAAGTCAAGTTTTAAATACTTCAACTAAATCACTTTACTTTGTATTCTCCACTGTCTAAACTGAATCACCCCCTAAGAAATCAGAAGTACTTACTTCTTCATTGACTAAAATCCCTTTCACAAAATCATCTCTGGTCTGGTAGTCGAAGTTGTCAGTAAACAGAGTGGGGACGACGGGCGAGCACACGGATATATGGCAATCCATCAGGTCATTGTGGCTGATTATATCATCATGCTCCAGCATAATATCCTGCGGAATCAATGGATATCCTTAAAATAACAAGTAGCTAACATCCTCAGTAATCAACAGATATAATTCACAATACTAAATAACTTATACAGTTAATCCCAATAACAGATTTTCAAGAAAATCAATTGATTTCCTGCATAACAAAAAATATCCAATATCCCTGGAAATCAACAGATTCTCTTCCTTATAACAAATAACTGATATTCTTGGGAATTCACATATTTCCTTGATAATAACAAAAACAACATTTTCTGTTAGTTATGAACAGGACATACCATGGGTATTTTAATCTTCCTGCTGTCATGTGATTTTTGAAAATACAGGAGACGGCCAGTTCCGCCCTCTTCAACAAGGAACATGTCGTCTTCTTTGCTGCGTGTCCTATGACCTGGAAGTGCTACTTTGTAAACTAAGGTCATGACCGATGACTTGTCTTTTCCGTGTGTCCGAGCCCTGGAAGGAGATAATAAACAATTCGGGAAATGTATTTTATTTTAGAACATACACTGCATAACGTTTCTATGTTTTACAATGTAGCATTTTACATTGCGGAAAAAAAAACCTGTTATGTTTGAGGTTGTATAAAGTGTGCTATTGTAGTGCCCCCATAAGAAAAGGAAAGCTTCGGTGTCATGTTTCCCAATTCAAGAGGTATGGAAGTGCAGAAGAACTAAACAGCCAAGGGCAAATGGCTAGATCCCCTATCACTACTGTTGGTCAACCTACAGATCATGATGATGTTATTAATGCCTCCTGGAAATGGGAAAGGGTGGAGAGTTTGTGGGCAGTGAATCCACATCACTCGCTAGAAAGACAGACTTGTTAAGATCGGCATAGCAAAAAAAACGAGATTCCCACCAGGCATATTAGAGGTCTTGTTAATCATCATAGAACTGGTACTATTCGCCATCAGACGCTAGGGTTCATACTGAGGGGAGGATCTGAGCACCCATGCACATGTCCGGAATGCAATGATGATAACCCAACTAACCAACTAAAAGGACTAATAATAAGGAGTGTCTGATGTGACAGCAACATATGGATGTCCTCTTTTTTAAAATTTTTTTTGGTTTTTTTTAAATGTCTGTCTCTGTTTCTATGCTCCTGTGGGTTCCACTGTAGAAATAATCGTTCTAGCTATTTTGTTCTAAGTTTTCTCAATTATATCCTACCAAACACCAGCATCTTTTCTTCACCCCCTGACTCACAGGAATGTGCTTATAGAAGGAAACACTACACATCATAAAAACTCACAGCAACTATTACTTCCTAACACAGCCTAGCTTGACCTAACAAACACCAGCATCTTTTCTTCACCCCTTCGACTCACTGGAATGTGCTTATAGACGGACACACTAGACAACATAAAAACTGAGAGCAATTGTTAGTTTCCAACACAGCACGGCTTGACCTACCAAACACTAGCATCTTTTCTTCACCCTCTGACTCATTGGAATGTGCTTATAAACGGACACACTAGACAACATAAAAACTGAAAGCAATTGTTAGTTCCCAACACAGTACGGCTTACTTATGCTCCTTGACAACCTGACTGATGTCCATGTTGGACACCAGGTCTCCTGTGATCAGGATGAAATCGTTCCGGATGAGCGACTTAGCATCAATCTCCCGAAGTGCATCTCCCATTGACAGACAGGAGTCTGACATAAGGGTTGTTACAGTCATGGGCGACCCACCTTGCATCCATTTGGATTTTCTGCAAGTAAATTAGAACAATAAATGTGATTCTTCGACAGTTTTCTTCTTCTTCGTGTTCACCGGCGGTAAACTCTGGTGGAAGGTTCTGGCTGTTCATCCACTTCTGGACATTTGTCTTGTTCCCAAACTTGAGTGTTGTGTGCACATCTGTTTCACAGATCTGGCTTATCTGTATGTTCCAAGTTCACAGGAAACACCCATAATTACTCTTACAACATACTTCTAAGGGGGTGGTGGGTTGATTCTTTTATTCCCCCTACAATGGTACCCCTGCCCTATAGAGGGTCATCAATATAGTTTATTCTCTGACACATCAAGAAAAATCTCAAGATCTTGCTAAAGGTGTTTGCCACCGATCCTGACACCTGGGAAGTCACTGCATTTGACAGTTAATCCTGGTCCCCCAACTCTTTAAGTAAAGCAGCAGCATGTGCGACTACCAGAACTGCAGCAGCAGTCAACTAAGACAGAACATGTCTGACAAGATGTACTCTCCTGGAAAGACTGCAAACATGTGCACACCAGTAGACTTGATAATTTCTTCTTCTTCTTTGTGCTTAACTTAACAGCTGTATACTTTGGGGAAAATATTATGGTTAATCATCCAATTATGGACACTGGTGTTGTTCTGGAATTTGAGTTTTGTGAGCACATCCATTTCACAGATCTGGCTTATTTGTATGCAGACTGTTGGTTCCTCACTTCCCAGGCAGATGCACTGTGACTTTGCAGGAAAAACCCCTATTAGTTGCCTTACAAACCTGCCTGTTACTGAACAACTAAGCTTTGGCGAAAGCTAAGTGACCTTAAGCTGACATCCTAGTTTATTGCCAATAGTAGATTAAGCACATGACAAGAGACATGAACAATAAATCTGAAAAGACCATAAACAGAATCTCATAAATGATGCATAGTAGCAGAAGAAGCAGAGGTAACTTCTTACAGGCTATATGGTGCTTGTAACGATGGGATTCCCTAAAGGGTTCCCAATATGATGCAAGGGTCAAGGGCAAGTCAAGTGCATAGAATCCCCGGGGAGAATACTCGCTAATTCCGTGTTTAACTGAACTGTTGAAATGATACCACCCGTACCTTGGGGACAAAGGTTTAAAGGTGAGAATGAAGATAGTTTAGTTTGTGTTTGACTGAACGAGACGAAGAGAGCATGCATCAACTGACTGACGAAGCTGTGATTGTTAAAGAACAGAACGAGGACAGAAAGAATGCATGGCAATGGCAGAAGAGGAATGACTGATTTGTATCGTCGAATGATTGTGAATCTTCGTGGCACCTAGTTTCTGGTGCACTGTCTCAGCGCATGTGAAATGTATAGACCGAAAGGTAACTGAATGTAATTATTTAATTGTGTGCCAGCTGTGACAGTGTTCGTGAGGGAGACTGAACACAACGGATGAGAACACTAGACAACAACTGGACGACACCTGTTGCTACACTTTCTCAGTGCATGTGAAATGTATGGACCGAAAGGTAACTGAATGTTATTATTCAATTAAGTGCCCGTTGTGACAGTTCGTGAGGGAGACTGAACACAATGGGTGAGAACACTAGACAACAACTGGACGACACCTGTTGCTGCAATGTTTCAGCACATGTGAAATGTATGGACCGAAAGGTAACTGAATGTTATTATTCAATTGTGTGCCAGTTCGTGAGGGAGACTAAACACAACGGGTGAGAACACCAGACAATGACTGGACGACACCTCAGTTGTACAACAATAAACTACATTTACAGATCACTGTGGTGTTATCAATATATCTGTCCATACTAACATTCCATCAGGACTGATGGGAGACTGATGCAGAAACCAGCATCACTGCAGTGTTGCTTATATCTATCCCCATCCTCCTGTCTCAGATTCTGTTAATGAATTTTAAATATAGATTCCTGCCTTGACTGCAAGCTATCAATCAAAATTTCGCTTGGTCTTCCTCTGCCTACCTTCTGTCAAACTTTCCCATTATCACTAATCATCAACAGCATCAAGTGCCTTGCCGACTGGTGTGGGTAATCATGCCTCTCCACAATCTGCGATCCGCAACTGTGTGTATCAGTTTGTGTGTTACCCCTCCATGCCATGACACAAGACTGTCAAGAATGTTCTCACACTGTCTTCCTCTCTCTCTCTCTCTCTCTCTCTTTCGACAAATCTTTCCAGTGGTCACAACACGTTTCATTTTCTCTCTTTTCATCACATGACCTTTTTGGTTGACTGTTGCCCTCTGATGTTTGTGATAAGTTCTCTTTGAGCACTAGCCCCTTTCAAAACATCTGGGTTACTCTTCTTAGCTGTTCAAGGAATACTAAGGATTCTTCTGTAAAACTATCAAAAAACCATTATCACAACTTATCTCCAGTCTTCTCATTTTCATGAGCAGAGATTAAGATAAATGATGCTTAACAAATTGAGAACTGAAATAAGAGAACTGTCTCCATTCTTATAAGCGCTCTGTCCCCATTTTGAGCCCTTAACCCACTGAATACCATTGCTGCACGTTATGCGATGAGGCGACGTTTACTTCTTGCCGCCAAGGTCACACTCCCTGTGATCGTAGCTTTGGCCGCTCACTGTCAAGTTAAAATCGTAATTTTGGCGATGAATTTGGTTGAAGCCTTTAGCCCATCTATTTCTCTATATTAATTTAAGGGAAACAACTTCGTAGTGCTTACAGTAAATATTTGATGAATTATCATTGTTAGCTCCATGTTGGTGACACACTGACAAAATTTGCGTCATGGTGTCAAATTCTTGAATAGATTGTGGTGGTCCTTTTTGTCATTTTTCTGTTGCTGCACTGATTTTCTTCATTTGATTTTGCTTTGGAAAGTGAAGGTGAAGATATTACTGAACAGACAGATGACTCTGGATTTGATAAATCTATTGAAGTGCCATGAAAAACATCACTGATAGTGAAACAATGGCATGTCGCTTCAAAGTCTAGCCTAACTAAGACTCAACAAGCAGTTACACATTCTGTAGCAAACACCAGTGCGACAATTTCCAATGCTGATAGTTCCAGTGAAAGTACTAATTCACAGCCTTTAGATTTTGAAGAGACTGTGTTTCTGCCTGCACATGACGATGATATCATTACTGCTTTTCATGCAGAATGATAATCATCATCATCTGACGAGGCCGGGGAAGATTTGCCACATCCTCAACTGGTTGATGATTGGCATTGTGATTTGCAAGGCTTTCTAGAACTACCCCCATTCATAGAAGGTGCATAGTGTATGTAGAAAAACATAAGTGCAAGAATCCAGAAATAAAAAAAGCCAGAGGGGCCATGACAGGCGCCACCATAAAGATCTACTCATGCTCCTGCACTGTTTACCTGCTTTCAAAGGGCTTTGACATATTTCTAATATATCCACCAATTTACTGCCAAGAGGTGTGGCTCTAACCTGATCTGTCTGCTTGTTTGTTTGTTTTCTGACACACACACCTGAACGCCTGGAGAAAAGATCTCTAGGATGCTAACTCAAAGACCTCTGAAGCTATGTTTGCCACTCTGCACGGAGCAGTCTATAAGATGAGGCATTGAGAAATATCAACAACTGAACTGATCCAGAACATCAAGGAATGAAATCTATGGAGATATATGAATACTTGAAGCCAGGGCTATTCATATTCAACTATGTTTACTCAAGGGACAAAATTTTGAAAACAATGATCATCACGGGCCATAGGCTTGGGATCAAACATACAAAGATCATTAATACAATGCAAGTGGCAATGATCTGAGGGGAAATTTGCTAAGCCTCCATGGGCCAAATCTAGCTCCGCGGGCCAACAGCTGAATCTGCCTTAAGCTACCCAAAGGCACATGATGATGATGACAGATGATTTCACTCACTTGATATGTTCCCTCACTTGATCCCCAAGATGGCAGCAAAACACAAATACCTCCTGTACACCAGATGCAGCTAAAGCCTCAAATGTATATTCAATGAGTGGAATATTGACCAACGGCAGCAAGGTCTGAGAAGAGGTGGGATAAATTATATTAGTAACAAAACTGACGTCATGGATGAAAGAACAAAATTAGCTGCACGTCTTTTTAAAAAAAAAGACATTTCAAACCAACCCATCTTTTTTATTGGCCATTGTGTGGTTTCCCTAAGCACTTTTAGGCTCAGTTGTTTGATGGATGAAGATGAAAAGTAAAGAACAAGTGTATTATATTAACTATTCTTCTTCTTCTTTCAATATCAATTTTTGTTTAATTTAAACATGTCTCTATATAATATTTCCTCTCTAGGTCTGTCTATTTATCAATTAACATAAAGGCAACTTTCTGAGATATAACACAAGGTTGTCTAGTATAATTTGCGGCTATCCTCTGAATAACGGCCACATATGATGAAAATTTAGCGATAATTGAGGCCTTTATATCTGAAAATAGTGCCACAGAAGTTGCAAACAGTGCACGAAAATCTGCTCTTTGTGGCACCATTGAAACTCAGCTAAATATGATCGGTGCCACATTAGAAACCCAGTTTTCACCGCCGAGAGTGTCTTCCGCTTTGCTATGCGAGATGCGGATATGGGGCTATACTAGATGGCTGAGACTTACGAGCAAATAAATTGGAGGAAGTTGCAGGAGATGAGGTAGCTGCTCCCCGTGAGTCCCAGCCCTCTAGTTTAGCCCCCCCATCCGCACAGCGCGTAGCGGCGTGGGGGATACGCTCGGCGGTGAGTTTAATCTGAAGAACACTATCGCTAACCTTTGTCATGTGTGGTCTCTCCGCCATGTCGCTATTATCGTGTGTATTGTTCCGTTTCTCGAAATTGTCAAAGGACAGTAATTTTAGTTTTGTCGTGATGGAAGTCCACAATTTACATGTGACTGAGGCCCTGTCAGAGTGTGTTTTAGGCCGCCATAATATGTGGCCGTTATTCAGAGGATAGCCTTTTTTACATTTTCTCTGCCATCCAGTTACTGGGTTAAACCAGTGTTTCCCAAACTTTTCTTTGTTGCTGCACCTTTTTTCAATTGAAATGTTTCCACGGCGCCCTAACCTTTGTAAAAGTATGACTATTCGCATTAGTTAGTTAGTCTTTCCTCTTGTGTCGAGTGCCGCACATAGGGCAGAGGTCATGACTCTCCATGCATGGCGGTTCGTTGCAATCTGTTGTAGGTCTTGGATGTTTGAGTGGCCCATGAGCGAGCCTTCATTGATGATAGTTCTACGTAGGGTTTCCCTTGGTCTTCCACGAGATCTTTTCCCGTGGTGTCCAAATGAGGGCTTGGTAAGGAAGTCTTGATTTATCCATTCTAAGGGCGTGGCCGACATAGTTCCAGTGGCGTTTTCGTATAAAATTAGACACATACTCTTGCCTGGATTCTTGCCTTATTTGTGTATTGGTTCAGAAATCTGACCACTTGAAATTTAGTATTCTTCTAAGGCATTTATTTTCGAAACTGTCTAATTCGTATGTAAGAGATTTAAAAAAAAAACCTGTGCATCTTCGAATATTTCGCAGCGCCCCTGTGAAGATGTCGCGGGTTCCCGGGGCACCGCGCAGCGCACAGTTTGGGAAACACTGGGTTAAACGGAAGCGGCAGTTTTTTGGGGGGTGCCTAGTTGACCATGTATCTTAGTGCACTTGTATTCATGGCGAGGCGCAGATGCCGTCTGGAGGTGACAGGTTCGATTCCCGGCACGGTGACTATAGCTTTCGGTTTTATGTTGTCTAGTGTGTTCTATCTTTCTACTTCTTTCTATGAGTGCCGATCACAATACTTTCTGTTACTTGATTAAATCAGTGTCTACCGTGCAGTGCCGAGTGACTCAGACTAGAGTGGCAGGCAACATTGTAAGCTGCCACTAAAACATTGGCTCTACTTTCAATACCGGACACGGGCTGGACGGCTTAGTTCAGTTTAGTGGGAGTTCTCTCCCTTGGCTGCACTGCAAACAGTGAGCGGAAAAGTTCACGAAACAAATGACATATGTACCTATCATCCTACTGTTGCGTGTAGGGTTGTGTATGCTTAGGGTTAGTGTTAGGGTTAGGGGTAGGTTTAGGGGTAGGGTTAGTTGTAGGGTTAGGGGGTTAGGGTTAGATGTGAAAATTTTGATGTAGGAGCTCCAAAAACTGGCCGACAATCTGATGCTTGTGGGAGTAGCGCCACTGAAATTCTGCCAAATGTGACGGCAATAGCGCGCAGCTGGTGCCCAATCTGTGGTGAATTGTCTGCTTGACTAGCATCCACAGGCATTCAATTGTTTGTGTGTGTATGTGACGGTGCATGACGTCGACGAAGTTGGTCTGGTGGACTACTACCTCGTGCAGATAGATGCCATGCCTTAAGTTTGCGATGTTGCTGTAGCCTTGCCAAGCATCAATTTTCACATCTAACCCTACCCCTACCCCTAAACCTACCCCTAACCCAAACCCTACGCAACCCAACACGCAACCGTATGATGATAGACACCCTACGCAACCCTACATGCAACCGTATGATGATAGGTAACCCTTCACGCAACTGTATGATGACCACGCAACCGTATGATGACTATGCAACCCTACACGCAACTGTACGCAACCCTACACGCAACCTTATGATGATAGCTAATTATATCATTTGTTTCGTGGACTTTTCCGCTCACTGTTTGCAGTGCGGCCAAGGGAGAGAACTCCCACTAAATTGAACTAAGCCGTCCAGCCCGCGTCCAGTATTATTGAAAGTAGAGCCAAAACATTTAATAATCTTCTTAAATAAACACAAGAACTGTTTACTCTGCAATATATATCGACAACAGAACTTGATAAATTAGCAAGTGAAAAACTTCGCACGGTTTGGCTGTTTACGACGGTGTACCCCTCCACTCACTATCATCATCATTATTGCATCATGATCATGAGGGAAATATTTCAAATATTAGTTTAAACATAAATAGCTTAAATTAACGCACAATAGCTGCTCAGCACTGACATTTACCCTTGGCTTCTTGTATGTGATTGGTCCGAAACGGACGTTGAAACTATCAGCAATTACTACAGCTTGAAGAATATCTTCTTGCACAAGATCTTCATTGCGACTTTTGCCTTTAGGAGCCATCTTGCATGTTTACTGGGGAGGTATCAATAATTTCTATATGACTTTTTACTTTCAACAAAAACACACGAGATTAAAGTAATAATTCTTAAAAAGTGATTTTCAATGTATTTTAAAATCGCTTTTGATATACAGTATCTAATAATAATGTTGAACATTCAATGTATTGTAGCGGCGTTGTTTTTTTGAAATGATTACTCGATATGAACATACACTCTTGTGTCTTGTTCCGATCACTGAAATATTCATCGACCGAGGAGGTTCTGAGGTTTGTTTCTTGTTTCTGAGAGTTCAGGAGAAGATAGGTTTACATTCGTATCGTGGGGTAAGTTAATTTGTCATATAAAATATAACTGTGACATCTTTTTAAAATGCAAGCAAGTATTGTGAATGTACTTATACAAACTCTGTGAGACGGATGATTGCAATGAAATCATATAGTGCAATGCAGTTGAATGGAGTAATAGAAATACTGAAATAGAACATCCGTGTGTAGACATGTAAGGTTCCAACACGGCCGTATTTAGTATCCCAAAGAAGGCCATGGTTTGAATTTGTCTTATAAATAGCTATGAAACCAAATCTGGCTGTAGAGTTCTTCTTAGACGTACGAGTAATCTAATTATACATCCTTGCAACATCGACACAAAGATATTTGAGAAATACTATACTGGCATTTGGTTTCATTACTATTTGAACTAATTTTTGCGTGTACTGCAACTTTTAACCTGAGAAACTTAGACAATGAACTTAGCAATTAAAAGGCTCTGAAAATGTGGATGTAACATAAGAATACGTTGAACTTAATTGGGGGAGGGGGGATCCAGGTTTTTGAGAGACTATAAATTCAAGGAATTGTTAAATTTTTAAACAGGAAATAATGGGTAAACAGTTTTATGTATGTAAAAACATACAAGGAAGAGGTAGACAGTGGCACAACTGTCTACAGCTTCATAGCTCTTAGCTTCACTATAATTAAGCTCCACTAATCTAAGGAAATATTATCTCCACCATTACTGTGCTCCAAGTACATTATCTTCCGCATCCTACAGCTTCACTTTTCTGCAGCTCCACAGTCCAACAGCCACACTTTCCTCCAGCTCCACAGTCTAACAGCCACACTATCCTCCAGCTCCACAGTCCAACAGCCACACTATCCTCCAGCTCAACAGCCCAACAGCCCACTATCCTCCAGCTCCACTGTTCCACAGCTCCACCAGCTCCACTATCCTCCAGCTCCACAGTCCGACAGCCACACTATCCTCCAGCTCCACAGTCCAACAGCCACACTATTCTCCAGCTCCACAGTCCAACAGCCACACTATCCTCCAGCTCCACTGTTCCACAGCTCCACTATCATCCAGCTCCACATTCCTGCAATTACTATATCTTTTACTCCACTATCATCTGGCCAAATTATCTCCAAGGAAGCAACAGTAAAACAGTGGCTAGCCTGCTTGCTTGCTGGACTGTTAGTCCTGTGTTTGCATTCCCATCAAAACAGGAATTCCGTTTCAATTTTTTACTTAGCCTTCCAGGGAGGACCATCTCTCGAAATGGGTCACATAAAATGTTCCAGGAAGCTACACACCATTTGGCTGGATCACATTTCATCCACCGTATAAATGTTTTTGTGTTTGACTTCCCGTTAGAGCAGAAATACATTTTTTTTTTAACTGAACATTTCAGGTTTGGCTCAAACCTGAAATGTAAAGCAGGAAATATTCCAGAAAGCTACACACCATTTGGTGGGGTGGAATTTCAACCGCTTTATTATTAAAGTTTGTGTGTGTACTGTTGTTGAATTTGTTAACAGTAACCTAATGTCGGCATCTTTGACAGTTTAATAATTCAGTCATACCAGGTCAAATTCACCAGCAGGTGATCTTGCAGCTGATCGCTTAGTGATTTCAACAGTGGTATAAGTGCCAACAAGTCAGGGATCAGTGACAAACTACTCTGTGTAAAATTGCTTACAAACAGCCAACAAATGTTGTGGTTTATGGTTTCCTGTGAAGAAAGTACAACAAATTTACTGCAGTTTTTATCAACATCTGTTTTGACCTTATATATTTGTTTACTGATTTGGCTGCAAAATCTGCTTTGTTACTTGTGATTTTGCTTTTGTACAGCTCACTGTGTGCTTTGACCATTGTCTTCCTTGTGCATATTCTTCTTCATGTTCACCGGTGGTAAACTATGATGGAAAGTCCTGGTTGTTTGTCCTCTTCTGGACTCTGGTCTTGTTCCAGAACTTGATTTTTGCATGCACATCTGTTACCAGCTGGCCAGATGCTGCAGACACTGGTCTTCTTCTGGAGACCCAGGTTTGAATCCTTTGTGCCCCATGTGGGTTCCAGGGCCCCATTGTGGGGGAAACAAGAATAGACCCACTGCCTCCCCAAAAGCATGTCGTAAGAGTCGACTAATTGGGGAGCTTCCTTTGAAGTCGGAGTGCATCTGCCGGAGAGGCAAGGAACCAACAGTATGTATTCAAGAGAATGAGATCCGTTAAACTGATGCACACGCAACACTCAGGTTCTGGAGCAGGACTGCTGTTCAGTAGTGGACGAGCAACCAGAACTTTCACCAGAGTGTACAGCTGGTGAACGCGAAGAAGAAGAATAAGAAGAATCCTTTGTAACATGGGGAATTGGTTTCAGTGGGAACACACACACGCGCGCACACACACACACGCACATGCACACACACACACACACACACACACACAAACACAAACCCCTAACCAGTAGAATACATTGTGAGAGCACTAGCCATGCAGTCCTATCCCCTCAGACTCAAGGACCCCTCCCTCCTCCCCTTTTCGACCCTAAAAAGTGGTAATTACAGTCAGAGGATCCTTTTCCACTTCCTAAAACATACTGGGTATATAGTGCTAGACATATTTTGCAGACAAGTCAGCACTGTTTGGGTGATGTGGTCAGCATCACGCCAGCCACCTTGACTTCCCATGACTTTACCTTGTACCCATTTAAGACTAGGCTGACCTGAGAGCCAAGATCATTTTTCGTCTGGCACCATACTGATTCGAACTCACGACCTTCAGATCCACAGGGGAGCGTCTAGCCACTACACCACGGTGGAGCTCAGATTCAGCATAGACAAGTTTTATTTTTTCTTTGTTTTTTTTTTTTGTTTTTTGTTTTACAACTGGGTATCTTGGTTTTGTAGGATTTGGATTGACATCCAGGATGTGGTTTTTCGAGTCGCTTGGGTATCAGACCTTTAGGTAACAGCTTAGTGTTGGGAAGGGGGGGGGGGGGTTGGGGCAGACCAGTCAGGCCTGCAAATACCAAATAATTTGCCAAGGCTCCACGTAGGTTGCAAAGGGAAATAACAAGTGTCTTGCTGGCGATAGCCTTATACCTGGTTATTTTCCTTTGGTGTTCTGTGTGTTTCTCAGTTCGTCTATTGATTGAGACCAGTTAGGAACTGACACCAGGTTTCATAAACACTCCGTCCACATATTCAGCAGCCAGCGCAATTTCAACTCCTGACGGTAGTAGCAGGAGCTCGATAATGAAGCTGATATTTACGGTTTTGCATATTCTATCTATTCATCGCTTATGTGGTCGACTTGACATATTGATTTTGACTGTATGAACGTTAGGAAAGCAATGGCAAATTGCTAAACGTAAAATTGCACATTGAAACCTACCAGAAAATGCATGCAGAGATTAGTCCTAAAACAAAGAACCTGCAACGATTAGTGAGAGAACCTGTCGGTTTAGGCACCCTGAAAATTAAGGGGTACTCTGAGAAAATTGCAATGGGGCTATGATGCCCCCTTCTTCTTCAACCATTATTGATGCTCTCTTTTCGAGAATTTAATTGCTCTTATATTGTTTGAGCGCCTCCCCCCCCCCCCCCTTTAAAAAAAAAGAGAAAAATATAAAGGGGGTTGAGGTAAACCCACCCCCTACCCCCTTTTATAAAAAGAAAAGTTGCAAGCAGGCTGGGTGAGGCCCCCACCGCCACCCCAACTCCCAGATTTCTAAGAAAAGTTGTAAGGGAGCTAAGGACATTCCTCTTTAGTCTGGTTGTAAGGAAGCCGAGGACATTCCCCTTAAGAAAGGTTGTAAGGGAGCTGAGGACATTCCCCTTAAGTCAGGTTGTAAGGGAACTGGGGACATTCCCCTTAAGTCAGGTTTTAGGGGAGCTGGGGACATTCCCCTTAAGTCAGGTTGTAGGGGAACTGGGGACATTCCCCTTAAGTCAGGTTGTAGGGGAGCTGAGGACATTCCCCTTAAGTCAGGTTGTAAGGGAACTGGGGACATTCCCCTTAAGTCAGGTTGTAGGGGAGCTGAGGACATTCCCCTTAAGTCAGGTTGTAGGGGAGCTGAGGACATTCCCCTTTAGTCAGGCTATAAGGGAGCTGAGGACATTCCCCTTTAAGTCAACGTGTAAGGTGGTTGTTGACCCCCCCCCCCCCCACCCACCCCCAATTCAAGATATTTTGTAATAGATTTGAGGTCACCCCCCCCCCCCTCACCAGTGTTCGTTTGTGTTGGCGCCCATTATTTATTGCATGTAACATATTTTTTTTTTTACTTTCAACACTTCTGTTATCACTCGCTTCCTCTGACTTATGTCTTTTTCTGTTAGTATCTGTGCTTGTTTGACTTCCTCTTTACTCACAGAAATGTAATTCATACCGGTTCTTCTAATCGATTCCACGCAGGGAAATGTCATATAATAATACTTCGGTTGCCCTCTGTCGCGCCCGATACGATTCGTTAGTGCGTGTATTGTATCGATCAAATCATTTGTGCTAACACCGTGCATTATCTGGAGCAGAGCGTTGTAAACTGGTGATGTTGATGACACCACATTTTAGACAAATATAATTTCACGACACGCTAATTCATTCTGCCAGCAAACCAAGGGTTACTGTTTAAAGTTCAATGCCAGTTATTTTATTTAACGCCCTTTCGTTCGCTTGACACACCTCTACATTGCAGTCGACACGTTAATGTGTGGCGACACACGAGTCCTGAAAGCTCTGCTCTTGGGAGCTATAGATTTCCAACTGTCCATTGAGAAATCGGTAGTGCAGATTGTATTGAAAGCAGCTCTTTGAATGAGAAATCGGTAGTGCAGATTCTATTACAAGTAGCTCTTTGATTGAGAAATCGGTAGTGCAGATTCTATTACAAGTAGCTCTTTGATTGAAAAATCGGTAGTGCAGATTGTATTAAGAGCAGCTCTTTGAATGAGAAATCGGTAGTGCAGATTCTATTACAAGTAGCTCTTTGATTGAGAAATCGATAGTGCAGATTCTATTAAAAGTAGCTCTTCAGTTGAGAAATCGGTAGTGCAGATTCTATTACAACTAGCTCTTTGACTGATAAATCGGTAGTGCATATTCTACTACAGGTGGCTCTTATCGTTGATTTTGCATTTGTAAAATCCAGAAACAAATGTTTTCAATTGTAGCTTAGATAGTTTTAATGTTAGAGAATTATGCAATATAATTTCTGTGAATTTGCAAACACATTCCTATTATTTCTTTTAATACAAACAAATTAAACGACAGTATATTTTTAATATCCTATTCACTACCTGTCCTTTCATTCATACTTTCTCAGACTTTTCTACGTCAGAGGGGTGTCGCGTTGTCTTGCCTCCCCAATTACATCAGCATCGATGTCGCCTGTTCTATACTTCGCGACGACACAGATTTTAACGACCCCAGAACATGTAGAACTGGCCCTAACCCAAACTCCCCTAACCTCAGCCTCAGCCTTGGTTACACGAGAAACTCTTTTCGAAGAAAGCAGTACAACGTGACACCCCTCTAACCTACATCAGACTGAGAAAGTGTGTAGATGGGCCGGGAAACGTGAACAGGTCCAATTATCCATAAACATATATTAAAAAGGCGTATATATTTTAGTTTTCTGAGATTGCTGGTGTAACTTAAAACGATAGGGCTTCAAGGGTTTTTATAGTTTATGACATCATCAGGTCTAAATAGTGGAGAGGGGGAGGGGGAGGGGTTGAGTGGGGAAGCACGTTTTTGAGTATCATTCTGACAACCCCGCATCCCTTCCCTCCCCGCCGATGAAATCAAACCCTCGTATTCGAGAATCATGACTACTCGTACGCGCGCGCACACATGCACACACACACACACTCTTTTTCTCTCGCACTCGCACACTCACACACACACTAAGCTGTTGCTTGGTTTCTGATTAATACACTTTCTGTTACTGGATTAATTCTGATTAAACTGGGCACGGAGGGGACATGACGGGCCTGGGTGTAGACAACATTACTCCTAAGATAACAAGTGCAGTTCTGGCAGTTTCTGACCGATTTCCTTCGCCTGTCTGCAACATTCCCCGCACGTGTGCGCAGTAACACAATAGCCCACTCAGTCCTGTCTCAGTATAAAACATGTATCCGATGTGTGTGTGTGCGTGCGTGTTTTTTATCAATATTCTCAATCTAGCCAGCGGTTTTGTTGACATTGATCCGGCCCCGGTAATGGTTTTCACTTTTCACACCTGGCCGATTATTAATAAGTGAGAGTCACCAAGTTATGCATCCCATAAATCTGAAATTGTCCCATGTTATGACAAAACAGCTGTTTTCAGACTTAGTTTCATCTTACCTAATGCTAAAAGAATATTTTCAAGAGCTGTATAAGTTCTGTCGTAATATACAGAAGAAGCAAGAAAAAGACTCTAAGCACATTATTTGATTCAGCCCAGCTCAGGACATTAAAAGTCAGGGAGGATGTTTGCGTCGAACTAAGAAACCAGTTGGAGATGTTTAACCACCTACCAGAGACAGCAAATATTGAAGAAGAATGGACACAGTCTAGAGGTTCGTATTGCAATGCAGCCCAGCAAATTCTCGGTGTGAAGAAACGTGTGAGAGAGGAATGGATATCTAAAGAATCTTAGTCAAAGAGAGAAGAGAGAAAAATGCAAAGAGAACAAATAAACCCTGCCAAAAGCACATTGGAAAAGATAGACCCATAGAAAGCATATAATTAATGGTCGGCCCATGGATCACGCAGACATTGTCATTGCCCTTAGAGAGATAGGACGTTCTGAGGATTTTGGAAGCAACGTGTCCACATCACTTCTAAGAATACGTGAATTGGGATCGGCACAGCCAAGCATGAGAAGCACACTGGACGCACACGAAGTCTTGTTAACCAACATAGGACTGGTACTATTAACCACACGACGCTGATGAATATGTTGAGAGGGGAATCTGCGCGCCTGTGGATGTGTCCGGAGTGCTGTGAAGATAATCTTACTCATAAGTCGTAACTCATAACTCAAGCATATAATACCAAACATAAAAAATAAAGAAAGGCAAAAAAGGATATCTTGGAACTTGAAGCTGCCAGAGCGGAAGAACCAGCAATGACAGGTGATACTAGAACACTGTATAAAATAACAAAGGAATTTTAGTTGGAAACATTTTAGCTTTAATGAAGGAAACCTGAGAGACGCAGCAGGAGAAATAATCACAGTGGAAAGAGGAAATGCTGACAGACGGCAAGAATATTTTACCAAGTTGTTCAATAGGACAGCCTCAGATTCCTCAGTGGAAACAGTAGAAAATTGAGATCAACTTCTAAAAATGGATACTGGGCGAATCAACGTTAAACAAATAGAAACGGCAGTAGTTACACATGGCTCCCAATGCTGGGGTTTTCCCCCCAGATCTGGGTTTTTATTTGACGCTTTAGGGAAATCTGGATTTTTTTAATTAAAAATATATCCTTATATAAAAGTGGTAAATGTATCGTTTCGTAACTATACATTTTGTACATTTTAACAATCTGGTTTTTTTTTCCTTTGGTTCTTTGTCCATGTATTGCTTTGGTTTTTGTTTAGCGAAGCTGGGTTTTTCAAAAATCCTATTGGCAGCCCTGGTCAGTACAGTCTTCACAAGCTCCAGCATTCATTCATTGTCGGGTTGTGTTGTTATATGTCACACATATGGCTTGAAGTCTATTCCTCCGTTGCGGTCTGCCCTGTGCAATCACTTCGACATAATGATGGAATCCAGTCCAGCCGCCTTGGCTTCTCTCATCAGCGTTGGCCCTAGGGTTTCTTTTGTATGTTCTCGTTTCCTCAGTCCCTCTATTTCTCATCTCGGTGTCTGTTTATAGAAATCATTGAATGTACACTAAGGTTAGTCATACATTTGCTTCGGTGTGAAAGATGATTCCGCCCGTGTGTCACCGGGACCCTCGCGGGAAGCAAAGAATAGTGACACTGCACCCTACCAGGCATGTCGTAAGAGGCGACTAAGGGTAGGGTTGGGCTTGAGGATGGCTACCTCATCATGTAAAAACCATAGCCACAAAAACCAACCAACCATGGATAAGTCAAAAAAGAGAAGCAAGTAAAATCCAGCAAACCAAGATGAGGGGAGGCTCTTCAAATAGAAGAAGTATGACACGGTGTGGAGAAAGCCGTAAGGAGTCCGGATCGTTGACTTACCTCCTCTCAACTAGGAAAACCTCCAGAATTGGCACCTGGAATGGGCATAGGAATAAAGGAAGGCCAAAAAACACATGGAAAAGAGAGCTGGAGAATGAAGTTAGAAAAATGGGGAGGACATGGGGAGAGCTCCATGCAATGGCGAAGGATAGAACGACTTGGCGTGAGTTGGGTGAGGGCCTATGCTCCATTGGGGGATAGAAAGGCAGAAGAAGAAGAAGAAAGATGATTCCAGACATAATCTTCAGTGTGCTAAGCTTGTTGTTTATAGGTACATTTTATGCTTATTTTTCTAGCGTACGCAATACCGGCACCTTATGTAGATATCTTCCCAGCCCCCCCCCCCCCTCCCTCCCTTTTAGCTTACTGTAATAGACACTTTTTGATGAGTACCAGCACCTTTCTTCTAGTGGAAAAAACTGGGTGTATCCTAGGTTTAGTAATATGTAGAGTGGAAGAGAGAGAGAGAGAGATAACAGATAAGTATCCTCTGAGAGAATGGGAAAGAAGAGCGAGGGGAAACAGATCGAGAAGGCAGCTAGTGGCTAGACTCTCACACCTTACTACGTAAAATACGCTGTCCAAGCGCCGATAAACGAAAGAACGAACAAACTTTATTTTTAAAGGGTTAAGAATTAGGCACATAGGCCCGTCTTACAAATTCTGCATTTCTGGTCTTACACCGTGCATACATTGTTCGATTCATACTTCAGTTTAGCAGATAATCGTCTTCAGCGTTCATCATCAGATGCCATTGCTGCGTGCCCATTTACAATATTTGCAGCCTTTTGGCCGACACATCCGACTTCTGCTGGCATTTGTTGACCGGGTTAGCCTTTCCCGGAGCAGATAATAATAATAATAATAAACATAATAAA